TCCTCAAGTTGGTGGTGGTAGTGACATCGGTGTGGTTCACGGTGGCGTTCTTGTTGTATTCCGAGAATCATTCGGCACCGGAAGTCGCGTTACCACTACAAAGGGGTGATAATGAAATAGACGACACTGATTCGCTAAAAAAAATCATGAACGGAGACAGTTTCAAATTTGCGGTGCCCATCAAAGAGGCACCACGGTCGAGTAGTAGTAAAGCGCCCCTGCAGCAAGCGAAGAGGGATGAATTGGGAGTATTGGCACCTCCAGAAAACAATCCGGGAGAAATGGGAAAACCCGTCAATCTGCCAGCAAATTCCAGCGGTAAGTTTAAATAGTTTAATTTTGTTCTTGTGTCTGTAGTTAGAGTTGTCCTTAAGAAGGATATTGGACTTGAATCCTCAGTAATATTATAAAAGCGATTGTTAGTGTGTTTTTTATTATTTGTTTGTTTGTTACCACTTCATGTCTTAATTATTCAACTGATTATCACTAAATTTTGTATACACATTGCCAGGGGTGCAGATAAGAACATAGAGGGTACCTTTTACCAAGAAAAAAACTACTGTTTCCGAGGGATGAAAAAATTTCTTTTCATCTCGATAAAGAAGTATGATATTTACTGTCTTTTTACGCAAAGTGTATGTTTAACCTAGAAAATTAAAAACATTAGTATTATCTTTATAGCAGTTTCTGCATCTAACAAGGAGGAGTTAGATATAGCTTTAAATAAAATGGAAGCAGTATTGATAAAGCAGTACTGTATAAAAATAAATAAAATTAAAACAAAAATACTGGTATGCAAGGGAAGAAAAGTAGGGAAAGAGCGAATATAAAGATAGGAGACGAAAAATTAGAAGAAGTGACCGATTTTAGGTATCTAGGATGTCAGATAAGTCAGGACGGAAGGAGTAGTAGGAATATAAAGCAGGCGATAGGCAGTTGCCTTCAATAAAAAGAAGTCACTTCTATGCTCACAAACGGTTAATTTAGAAATTCGAAAAAGGTTGTTGCTTGGAACACGGCGCTGTACGGGTGCGAAACACGTACAGTGGGCGCGGCGAAAAGAAAAGGTTAGAAGCGTTCGAAATGAATGTTGAGGATACCGTGGATAGAAAAGGTAAGAAATGAAGTGGTACTAGAAAGAGTAAGAGAACAGAGGACTCTTTGGAAGTCAATAATAAATAAGCGAGATAAGTTGGTAGGACATCTTCTCAGGCATGAAGGTCTAGTCAGAGACATATTAGAGGCAGAAACGGAAGTTAGGTGGGGTAGAGGTAGACCTAGGTTAGATTACTGTTCGCAAATAGTTAAGGATGTGGGTTGTTGTAGTTTTAGGGAAATGCAAAAGATTAGCTCAGGATAGGAAAGAGTGGAGGTGCGGCTCCAACCAGTCTTTAGACTGACGACCTTATGATGATGATGATGATTAGTATTATGCTGACGATCAAGACTTAAGAACAAATTTATCAAATTAATGTATTTTAGATGATCTTTGTCACGTATTTAAGACATCAACGCTATTAAAGCCTCGGTTAAAAGCTTGTTTACCATAATAAAAGTGTAATTACCTAATATAGTGAAATTTACTCTAAATTACAGCGTAGGAACTAACAGTTTAATAAAATACTGGAACTAACAACTAACTAATACAGCTATCACAAACCTAACCTAACAATTACGTCATCAATGCATATACAGTAAAAGCTCTTTATTCGCGGGGTATACGTGCCATAAATATGCCGCGAATACAGAAACCGCGTATATGGAATGGTAATTAGTATGGTATCAGAGGGGATGCGTTCTAATGTTAGAATAGAAATCCATGTTTTCGGAAAAATTGCGGTCAATCCCCTTAACAAATGACACCGAATTCTTTTCTGTTTACCGGTTGCATCCGCGAATAATGAAATATTTAGCCGCGAATACAGGAACTAAGTTACAATTTTTTCACCCGCGAATAATGAAAACGCGAATAAGGAAACCGTGAATAAGGAACTTTTATATACATATATATGATTTTCCAACATTCGCAAAATTTTCTTCACTATCATTTCCACGTCTAACATAAGTATATCTAAATGATCAGCATAGTCACCTCTACAACATATTAAAAGTTCAAAGTTATCGGAGATGTGGCTACCGTACTAGTCAATTACCGTATTTTGTAAAAGTAGAATCATGGAAGTTATTCAATTTTGTGCTTATTTTTATAACAAAAAAAAAAGATTGCAGGTGCTACCTATATTGTTATATTTTACCTAACAAAGCTATACCTTATTTTTATAGCCCCCAAGTGAATGTGGTATCATATGAAACTTCGAAGAGCACAAATAGCTTTCTCCAATCTTTTCGGACCAGATTGGCATTGGACTTTTTATTGCCGCGTGCAACTGCGAGCATCCAATTTTGCCAATTTCGGCGAGATTTCTCAGTGGGTGCAAATAGATTCGCACGAGTGCAAACGTTTCTCAATCGCCATATATTTTACGAAATTACCGCTTTACTACTTACGATTAACGTACGTGTAGGTATTATCTTCCTACATTACCTTCCAGTTTACACGCGCTCACGGTTTAATCCAATAAGAATTGGAAACGCATGGGATTTCTAAACTTTATTGTCTACACTTTCAGTAAAGCAAACAACTCTTGCCAAACCGTGCTTTATAAACAAAACGCTATTATATTTTTAATGTTTTGATAATTGCAAAGTTGAGACATTGTTATAATCTATTATAAACCGTGAAGAAATCTTAAATGTTGGAGAGGTTTGGGGGGGGGGGCTTACTTCCCAGCAAATTAACAGACAGAGAGGAATTTATTTTTATATTTTAGACATACCTACTTTTTGTCGTTTATATTAGCATTTAGCAAGGAGGAGTTAGAGATAGCTTTAAATAAAATTAATGCGGTACTGACAAAACAGTACTGTATGAAAAGAAATAAAAGTAAAACAAAAATACTGCTATGCAAGGGAAGAAATAGTAGGGAAAAACGGAATATAAAGCTAAGTAACGAAAAATTAAAAGAAGTGGCCGATTTTAGGTATCTAGGAAGTCAGATAAGTAGGGATATAAAGCAGAGGATAGCGCAGGGTCGAGACGCCTTCAATAAAAAGAAGTCACTTTTATGCTCGCGATCAGTTAATTTAGAAATTCAAAAAGGATTGTTAAAGGTGTATGTTTGGAGCACGGCGCAGTACGGGTGCGAAGGCGCAGTACGGGTGCGAAACATGGATAGTGGGTGCGGCGGAAAAGAAAAGGTTAGAAGCGTATTGCAGGCGAATGATGAGGATAGAGTTAGAAAGAGATGAGAGATGAAGTTAGAAATTATGAGGTATTAGGAAGAATAGAACAGAGGACTCTATGGAAGTCAATAAGAAATAGGCGAGATAGGTTGGTAGGACTCCTTTTCAGGCATGAAGGTCTAGTCAGAGACATATGAAACAGGAGTTAGGAGGGGTAGAAGTAGACCTAGATTATATTACTGTTCGCCAATAGTTAAGGATGTGGTTTGTTCTAGTTTTAGGGAAATGCGAAGTTTAACTCAGGATAGGAAACAGTGGAGGTTCGTGTTCAACCAGTCTTAGGACTGACGACCTTATAATGATGATGATACTAGGTTATATGCGGCTTCGTTCGCATTTTGATGTCCTAACTAAGTGTCAAAGGTCATCTAGTATCTTTTTCTGCATAAAACGCACCCTATGTCCTTTTATGTACCCCGGACAAAAATTTATAGTAATGGGTTGAGTAATAAAGGCGTGAAATGATAGCAAACCAACAAATAAACAAATTGACAATGGGTACACTGTATGCATATATACATAGGTGCATATATACGTATAAGGGTATGAATTGATTCTTTACTTCTGTGAAAATCGTCTCAAACTAACTGAACTTTCAAGATCTTTTGTATTAAAGAGTAACACCCTTCAAATGCCTTAAATTACTTTTTTTTTCAAAAGAGGACGCCACCTTTTGACGATTGCAATAAACACAATGTCTGATAGAATAATATTCCCATTTTTGGTTCTCATCTCCTCACTGACATATACAGCTAAGGCAAAATGTTCACCGAACATAGGAATTACTCGTTTCTTTGTCGGTATTCTTTCTTCTTATGTCTTACGAGCTAAAATGCATAATTAGATGACAGATTGATGATATCCGAAAATATCTCCTATATTAGAGAAGTGTCCTAACTAACCGAACTCTTAAAATCTCTTGAACAAAGCAGCATCTTTCAAGAGCGTTAATTTCTCATTCATTGAATTTATATCACTTTACTGTTTATCAATATTTGTACCAATTAGTCCATCCTTTTCCAACGGTGATACCACACCTTTGATGATTTAATGAGGTAGATTATCCGTAATTGGTTCTCAATTGTCCTTACTCACTGAACTCTTAAAGTCTCCTGAACAACGCTAAACGTTATTCAAGGACATTAAATTTTGGATTTATTGGATTTATATCACTTTACTATTTACTGATATTTGTACCATTCAGTGTATGCTATGTTATATTTTTCTAACGATGATGTCGTCACACTTTTGATAATTTCATATAGCAGAATATCCCTTATTGGCTCTGAATTAGTCACACCAGTGTAGAAATGAACGTCAGTTTTACATATGTGCGCATGTATATCCTTAAATTAATGATCTTGTACAATTCACTGCCATACTCCTTGCATCGACGCCACGGTTAACATGGGAACCTGCAGTACCTATAAAATAACTTGATGAATGGAAAACGTTGAATGTAATATGCAGTGTATCAGTGCAAAGAAAATGTATTTCAAACTTTTGTTTATACCTATTGCATACGAAGCTGATTGGGTGCAATGTTGCAAGTCACATTAAAAGAAATCTTGTTTTCATTAATAAACAGCTGTTAATTTTTTTTATTAATAGGACTGATAGTATTTCAATCTTTACTAATTTTTGGAATTTGTNCTCTCTCGTACTCATTGAAGGGTATGGGGTGACTTAAACTAACCTCAGCTAGCGGCTCCCACGAAGTTAAAATTTGCCCGGTTCTGCTTTAGATGTTGACAAATTAAAACATAAAGTTGTTTAATTATTTGACCGCCACCCTGGAAAAAACTATATAATTTAAAAGTAGCGGTCAGGCATCTAACTTAAATTAAAAATATATCAGGTAAAACCTGGGAAACTATAAAAATCAGGTAGTTTTTTCGAACCTGTCTGCAAAGTTTACACCGACAAAAGTTTCCCATTTTACAGAACACCTTCGAGACGTTAGCAAGAGCTATTTGATAGTTTTCTTGAATTTCAGACCTAGATAAACTTTTCATTTTCCTTTTCTCCTCTAGGATATCTTCATCGTCTATACGATGAGGTCTAACGTATGCACGTTCCGTTCGCAGGAAATATTTCAAAACACTCGAATCAATTAAAATGGTTAAGAAAAGGTAAAAAATTGCAACACAAACGGCATATGCGATTGGTCCTCCGATTCCAGGATGATCCCATTCGAAATAGTTCATTGTGAAATCTAAAAATTAACCATTTATATTTTGCATACTAAATTTACGGTAAAAGGCTAAGAAATCAGGGCGAATCTGACAATCTCTTATTAATATTTATTGCGAGCAGTAGCTAATTACAAAACACAAACATGCAGAAGTTACAGTCCCTTTCAATTTGTTAGAATTGTGACCTTGAAGAAATCTGCGCAAAGATGGAAAGAATGCACACTCTAACTCCCTTCCTAATATTTACTTCTCTGCGTTGCTGCTCCAATTCTATAACTGCCTGTTGGTCTTTATACAAACTAAGGACCACTCTTCTATATCCTACATTTTTATATATATTTAACACCTTGTCAGAAGCTTTTTCTAAATCTACAAATCCTATGTACAGGCTCTTTCCTTTCTCTATCGTTTTCTCTGTTCTTACCCGTAAACCCGCATTCTTCTATTTCTTCCAAACATATTGATCTTCCGCTATATATTCACTAAATAATTAAAGTATGCAATTTTTTTTAAAAACATGCACCTATTAGTAAGTGCAGAAAATGATACTTTCATCTTTGCGGTAGACTTTTCAGTACGTTATTATAGCATACTTGGAGGATATTTCTCACTAAAATCTCCTTAGTTACAAATTTTTCCGAGTGTGAAAGCTATTGTTTACTCCATCACCACATTGTGTAATATCCATGGTAAACGCGTTCCCGTTATAGACGAATTTATAAACAATTTTTGTATGCACGCCTTTAATTGCTGCATGTTTGTGACTTGCATACTTATTTTGTAGTCATTTTTCGCTTTATTTTCTTGCAATTTCTAAATTTTAACGGTAACTGTCCTACTTACTGCAGCAATCCTTACGAAATAAAGGCATTCCACATGGTCTCATGGCACACTCCTTAGTCCAACCGCCCTCACAATCTCCTACTGTTAAGCAAACCTTAATAAGTTGTTTTTTTCTCAGCATACGCATATAAGACTCAATCATGTTATACATTGGTAAACTTAATAGTAGTCGGTACACAAAACGAACGATAGGGTCCGGATTTGTTACTGCAGTATCTGGTTGTAACAGTGAATCAAATCCCCAATTAAAAAATCCAACTAAAAATAAATTAATTATGTTCTTTTGCACAGCAGTGTGCTCACAAAGGATATATTTTTGAAATGAAACTTCTATATATCGCGTGGTAGCAGGCGAGAAAGATGGCGGTAGCTGAGAGAGGGCAACGGCTGTATTAGATGGATATAATGCGCAGCCGCGCGGAGAGCAGGGAGTCCGCTAGAGTCCCGGCGGCGTGTTCTGTGCTCAGTAGTTGTTTTCTTACCTCTACTCTCCACGTCACTGGGCATCATTACCTCTATTTGCTGTCTGTGTAAAAACCAAATCATAATTTGCAGTAAATCTGTGAAAACGAAATTTGTGCTGGGACACATAGTGGAAGTGAAACTTCAACGAACAAGTGTAAAAACGAATGACAACGGACAAGTGAAAAAAAGAATCGCAACAAAATTTTTACATCAAGTTTTATGGGCAGGTGTTTAAATTGGACAAGTACATTAACAATCTGCCCGTAAAACTTGAATGAAAAATTTTGTTGTCATTCGTTTTTCCACTTGTCGGTTGAAATTTCATTTCTACTATGTGTCCCAGTACATACTTCGTTTTGTATTACTTTTTGGTCTCAAAATTTTTTTTCACAAATTTAACATATTGTTAGTCTATGAGTAATGTTGAAAGTCCCTGAATTTTTGATCAGAAAGGAAAAATTATCATTGCATTCCCAACCAAAACTCATTTTATATGTATAGGTACTATATGTATACGTATACTGATCTGCCTTTTTCTGCCAACGAGAAAATCCGTAAAACCTCTGAGGATTCTTCTACGTATCTAAACATTAAGTATTCAACATTGTTTTAAGGGAATCCCTTCAAATTCACTAAGTATCTCAACTAGTGCAGACAGAAGACAGGTTTTATACGGAGAAAACTATAAACTGTTCCAACAGCTAAATAACTTTTGTCGCAGAGAAACGACCTCGATCCTAATTAGTTTAGATGAGACGCCAGGATCAGGGAGTCTTATTCTTATCTTGCACGATCTTTTTCGTACGAAAAAGAAAAGAGAGGACCATTAGACTCGATGCATTAACAAAGCGTTTAAATAAATCAAACTGCGCTCTGTAATTTTAATTCTCACGTTTACTGTTTCTCCTCACTGGAGCAACGGTCGAGTAGAGTTTTGTAATTAAAACTGACGTAGCAGCTGCTAAGTCAATAAAGCACCGAGTTTTTAATAGCGGAAAGAATGATGAAGTAGTAATCCGATTGTCGACACTAGTCGACCTTTTTAAACGCCTGGATAATTTATAAGACATAATATGCCAGCTATGCATGGTTCCCTTTTTAGCATGTTTTATGCACCTAGAATAATTTAATGGAATCTTCTTTAATGCGAGATATCGTCTTCAGGCTATTTATTAGCCGTAAGTAATCCGTTTAGAATGATTGAGGATTTTCGTTTGATGCGTCACGCAACTGGTGCTGAAATTGGAGCAGCGTCGAAAGCAGTCTTCACCAGGGGTCGACAAACATTCAAGACAGAAGAGCCGAATGACTAAAGAAAACAGCGTAAAGCATATATGTGAAATACATCATCATAGCGTCATCATTCCACATGCGAATTTCTTCCGAAAAACTGATACTCCCCTCATCCTTAACTGTTTAAGAATAGTGAAATCTAATGTAAGTCTTTCTCTATCGTCCATTGTTCCTGCTTGCTTTTAATATGTTTATAACTAGCCCTCCATGAATCAGAAGGTGTTCTCCACCACCCTTTCTNACTTGAATGAAAAATTTTGTTGTCATTCGTTTTTTTTTTTTAATAATTTTATACATAATTACGAAAGGCTAGCGAAACTGACACGCCTTGTAAATGATATAAATCCTCCGGATGGGATGACCCCTTCTCACAGCATTTTCGACGGAATTTACAGCAACCCAATTTATAAATTTCTGATTTGGATATTTTGAATTATTTTATTACATACGGAGTGTTTCTGAAATAAGTGCGGAGTTTGTAGAAGGTGAGAAGGCACTAATATACAAGAAAATTAAATAAATGTTTAGAGATTGGAAAATGCGCGCTACATTTGAGAAGAACAGGCAAGAGTAGTTAAGTAGGCGGGATACACGATCATGTCGATGACCTATCCACTTGAAAACTGAAAGTAAGAACTTTACGCGAAAAATTTAAATTCAAATACCACAAGAATTCCAGAAGGTCTGGTATTGTTGATAAGAAAAGATGTGTTGTTGGTAAGATATTGATCAACAAGCCTTCGACATGATCCAGTATTTTTTTGTCCTCATTTTGTTGTTATCTGGTAAATTAATTTTAATTGTGATTTAAGATATTTCTATTACAGTTAGCCTACATGTAATAATTTGCTTTTTTAACGATTCAACTTTTAAACTTTTAGTCAATTCATATGACATTTTGGATGGTAACTTGTGGTTTTCTTATTTTTTTTTTCTTTCTTAGCCATGCTGCTATACTCACCATGCGATTCCTAAACATCCTCGCAATGTTCGCATTTATTTCAGAAAATCCCTGTAGGTAGTGTCTTAAAGGTAAACAATAACGCAAGCCTTTTATAACTACAACTTTAAATTTAGAATATTGTGTCACACAATAAACAACAAATATCACGTAATTGAAAAGGAAAATGAAAATGTACGTAAAAATCGTTTTATAAGAACTCGCGAATTCAAGATGACCGCATTGTAATTATCACAGCGTCGTTGTTATCACTTAAAAAAAATCTCAGCAACGAAACATTTCTGCCAGTCCCTACGAGTAATGCCCTTACTACCTTTTTGTATACTTACGTCCTATTAGTACTACCATAAATGTAGAAACCATGTATTCTGCTGACCATCCTATGTGAGACATGAGAAAAATGAAGCATGTAATATGAAATCCACCAACGAAAAACATCACGAACCCTCTGTCTAAAATGAATAATCTCTAAGTAGTTTAAATGCGATTTCTCACCCGAGAGGGAATGTTGCGCTTTAATAACTTACCTTCGATAGGGGTATAGTAACAAGTCAATACTGATGACGTCATGAATCGACGCCATTCTGTTGATTCGTTCCGAAATATACTGACGCCATATTGAGTACTCGTTTACGACAATTTTACTCCAAAAATTATTAAAGTTCCTTATAATAAAAAATACACGCGCGTTTGATCTACTGCTCCATCACACTTGTCTCACCAGTACAATATAGTGGCACGCCAGTACAATATGGCGTCGATTCATGACGTCATCAGCACTGGCCAGTATGCTGGGATACATTAAACTACTTGAAGCAACTTACCCTTCAAATTGAGCCGAATTTTCATAACTCTAACAAGCTATCGACACTGTTTTCTTTGTAAGTCATGACAAGCTCACATGAATGACATAATTTCAACAACCATTTAAGATAAATACAAAAATACTTACTAAAACCTTCATACTTTTCAAGTCCTTTTAGATCCATTGCACGCGATATAGTGGCAACAATCAACGCACATATTGTCATCACTAGCATTTCCCAAAGTAAAGCAGTCAACCAGTAAAGTGCTACGTTTGCCCCTGAAATTATTTGTAGATGCAAGGATTTGTTCTTTCTTTCATCTGAATAGAATAACAGTGGTATTGCTCCAGCAATACCGAATCCAAATGATAGGCAACATATGCATTGTATCACTAACTAGAAAAATAGTGCGTAACAATGACAGAAATTTACTGAGTGATAAGGTTGTAACTAAATTAATATTGGATCTACGAAATACAGGTCTGTTATTAAAATAATCAGTATTACAATGGGGTAAAGTTGGATGTAAAAGGTAATCTCCAAAATTACTCATTTGTTTTCAAAACTTCTTTTACCAGTATTTATAATTGATTTTCAGGGTGGATTTAGGCTCATATTATTTTTGATAAACTTACGTCGTCAACGTTTGACACACCAACTGGTTCTGGATAAGTGTAGATGTGAATTTTGTATTGTTTTCCCATTTCTTTTCTTAAAATTGCATTAACTACAACTGAATATGACAATGGCATCGAGTGATCTTCGAATCTGTTATAGTAAGCAACGATCGATGGTCCAAATGATGCGCCTATAACGTACCGGTTTTGGTAGAAATTAAAGTCTTGCAACGCCTAAAAATACAATACTTGGAATGAAAATGTTGACTTTTATGATAAAGTTTCTTTTGTGGAATGTTAGATACTATTAATTATTTAAACTGATAATGTCTTTAGTAAGTGATAATTATTATTATCGTTGTTATTATTTCTTTAAAAACTATCAACTTACTAGAATTAGGTAACCATTTGGAGTATATAGAAAGACAGTACAGTAAAGGTTCCTTATTTACGGTTTCCTTATTCGCGTTTTCATTATCGCAGTTGCAATCGGTGAACAGAAAAGATTCGGTGTCATTTATTAAAGGGTTTGACCGCAATAGACCACTTGTGCCTAGTATGAATTTTTTCGAAAATATGGTTTTCTATTCTAAACATTGTGATTTAACGCTGAGAGATAAATATCTAATTTTTTGTATGATAACAGACAAAGGTTCACACTAACTCGGGACGTTGTTGGTTTTCAATAATATGGTCATTAAAAGCTTTTACAAGTGCTTAAAGTTGGTGTTTCTTGTAGGAAACGTATTTTCAATAGAAATTAAAAAAAAATAAAAATGGCCTTCGACAAACTTTACAACAAATCTTTATCTATCCCACTACAAAATTTCAAACCTCTGCTCCAAATATTAAACTCACGATATCCATAACCGATAAGCATGTTTTTGCTCTACGGCGCGAGTACTATTGAATCCCCTTCATGTATCAGCATCTTTTGAGTATGTACGGTTGGTACGTGCAGAAGCGGCTTTTATAAAAAATCTAATCAAGTAGAAAAAGATTCGGAGTTAGTTTTCAACGTGGCAACCGAGTGGACCAATTTGAAAATTCAAAACAAAAAAAATTTCGTATACTCTTGCCTAATGCTGATTACAACGATTAATTTTAATTGCGAATTTATCAATACATTGATTTAATTTTGATACATATTGGTTTTATTTTGGAACTTTTGGACGTATCCCCTATGATGCCATACTAATTACCATTCCATATCCACGGTTTCTGTATTTGCGGCATATTTATGGAACGTATACCCCGCGAAGAAACAACTGAAGTAAATAGTAGCATTTAAGTGACGATATGCCGCCTGTAAGCAGATAGCAAATTAATTTGTTTATATAGAACCTCTTCGATTTGGTCACTTACTTATCGAGACGTGCTGATGAGAACAAACAAGCTCAAAAAAACTATCCACGCCCAGTACACTCGATAAATTAGTGACTAAAAACTTAAAAAGTTTTCATATGAAGAATAGCACTTGAGCTTTGCTCAAAACAGACAAAAAAGTCAGACAACATCGCGGGATTCCAACCCGCGCACTTCGGAATAAGAGATCTACCCCCTAGCAATTTTACTGTTGAGATTTCTGTGGAAAAATCACCAATCATATAATACCATAGCTTACTTTATTAAATGCTTCTTGGATAAAAGTCTTTCCTTTCACAACCTCGACAACCCCTCCATGTTCCTCAACAATTTCTTTGTACGCCGGCCAGTACGCATTATCGCTACCTTCTGTTAATGCAATTACGTCATAGTAATCAGCTAAGGACATCTTCAGCATGTCTGAGGTTAAAGCCTTATTAACTGTTGAAAAAATTATAGGCACAAGGTAAAGAATGAACACTATGGCAATTTGAAGAAATGCATAGCGATCCCTTAGGCTGCATATAATTTTTTTATACATAAGTGCAGTAAATTGTCTTCGCAAACTTGGTTTTGACATTTCTAAAATAAATAAAGGATACAATACTATGTAAGATATAAACGAAAAAATTTTAGAATAATAATATTTAAATTGCCTACTAAAATGTTAAATCAGAGCCCAGATAAGGAATGACTTTACCTTGGCTCTGATATAACATCTGGATTAAATTAGTGAAAAAAACGGACTTCATGCTGAAATTAATTTCTGGTTTTTATGCTAGAATGTTCTACAAAAATTCCGTACTTACCCAATTGAGAAGTATTTATTACAGTAGCTTTTTCGTCATGTTTTTCGACTACGTATCTGAAATGAATATAGACACCATTATTAGAACATACATATTGCATGATATATTTTCACCCTTACTCAATGAAAATTTCATCTAGAGGTGTCCTTGACACTCCAAAACTGCTAACATGAAGCGGTTCCTGAAAGCTTTCAAGGCTTTGTACTGCATCGGTTATATTAGACATTGGAACCTCATAAACCAAATCGTTTCCAGAAATACGATGAAGCTAACAAAATATGTACAAAATGTTAAATTAAAGATTTGTTGAACGTTATTACAATTTGATGCTATATCGCAAATTGGTACTCGTTTTAAATTTTTGTGAATAAGGAAGTAATATCAATTTTACAAAAAAGTACACAAATAAATTGGGCAAAAGAATGGATCACAACTTGAATGAGATTTATTTCGGCAGTAGTGACATTACAACTGAGTTGACTGATGTTAAGACAATGTATCTCTTGTCATTCTCAAAATTTTCGTACCACCGTTGCGGCGAGCCAGTACTGCTATATAGTTAATAATAATTAAGTAATAGTATTAATTATTTATTACTTGACCACCTCGTGCCTTCATGAAACTTGTTACCGCTCCTTCGTCGCAATCTGGACCCTTCTCAATAGCAATTCGATAACCGATTTCATATTCCTTCTTGAGAAAGCTGCCTGAACCAATAGTTTGTAGTCTTCCCCCATTCAAAAGTATAATTCGATCGCCTAAAGAATCCGCTTCGTCCATGTGATGAGTTATAAGAAGAATTGTTCGATCTATAGCAGAAATAGTAACGTTTGCTACAGGTTTGTAGCATGCATATAATGGCACTATTTTATGGAACAAAGAATGTGAATCAGTTGCGACGTTATTACCTTTAATTACCAGTGAAATTACACCAACTCAATTCATAAATTTCTGACCGAACTTGAATATTTTAAATATTTGTTTGAATACGGAGTGTTTCTGAAATAAGTGCGGAGTTTGCAGAAAGTGACAAGGCACTAATAGAAAACAAGAAAATTAAATAAATATTTAGAAATCAGAAAGTTCACGCTACTTTAGAGAAAATCATATTTGAAAGAATAGGCAAAAGTAGTTAAGCAAGCGGGATACAGTATCATGTCGATGACCTTTGTTGCAGTTGCATGCGTATAATGGCACTATTTTAGGTGTATTATAGCGTTGTCTTGGGACATAGAATCTTAATCAGTTGTGACGTTATTTAGTGGCAGATACTGAAAGTGTTATTCGTATCGCGATGGGTAGGAGTAGCCGTTATTATCAGCGCGCAGGATTGATGGTACCGTTGTTGATAGTACAGAGCACCCCATCATACCGTAAAACAGTTGCCTCATTCTGTGAAATGTGCGTTTGTAAGGTAGAGCCGGCCAATCTTTGACTTCTTAGGAGCATTACTTTGTATGCAACAGAGACAGGTATAGAAACGAGCGATACGTGTCCCTTTTCCTCTGTAACCAAGTCTTCTGGTTATGGTTATGGAGAAAGAGAGATAGGTATCGTTTGACACTATATCTGTGACACTATACCGGTCCCTTTTGGGTCACGAGAAAAAGGGTCAACCGTAGATTTGTATTTCTCCCTCACTTGCTCTCGTAGGAGCCCTTAGGAGTACTAGGAGCGGAGTTTGTCCGGCTCTGTTCTAGGGGCTGTTACCAAACAAACTCAAATCGGTGCGTTGACAGCTCAAGCGATCGAGTCATTTATATCAACTGTAACCGAATATGTTTACACCTACCTTGTTTTAAAGCCCTGAGTATTCCCCACATACTCTTTCTGTTTATAGGATCCACTCCTGATGTTGGTTCATCTAAAATGATAAGCTTGGTATTGCCACACAATGCTGTCAATACGCCTAGTTTTCGTTTACTTCCACCTGATAAATGTTTGACTGAGCTGTGCAGCTGCAAACAAGAAATTGTTCTTGTTAACATAAATTAAGACAAACTTACTTATAAAAACGACCAAAAGTAAAATACAAAAAATTACTGTTTAATTAACTTTTTTTGGGATTTCAAGTTGTCTATTTTTTATTAACTCTTCATACTCAAGAAAGGGTAACAAAACAAAAAATTAAAAATCTTTTGGTGTTTCGTTCTCATTAGCTACTAATGCTAGTTGGTGAGTAATCCCTCCGAGCTTTGTCTAAGGGTAAAGCAGAAGACCCTCCTCAGCCTTCTCTTAGGAATAGTGGGAATGGGAGGGTGGTGGTTGGGGTACGTGAAAATAGAACAGAAGTGAGGAACATCTGTTCATTACTGTTACTACGCCAGAATTTGTCTGAGTGATGGAAGGGTAGGTACTTAACAAAAAAACTTGATCCAGGGTACTAGGAAAAAAACATATAAAAGCCAATCCGCATTATCCCACCATGGCCCAGAGGTTTAATATATTGCTTAGCATTCGGGAGAACGCCGGTTCGAATCCGTGTCCGTCTGCCTTGGTCTAAGTTTTCTGTGGTTTCCTTGGATCATTTAGGCAAATGCTGGAGCAGTAATATTCCATAGATAATCTTTCATTCTCTTCTGTCTTCATTTCGTCCGTCTCATCTTTCTCACCCAAATCACCATCCGCCGTTCCCACGATTCCTGAAAGAAGGCTGAAGAGGGCCTTCCGTTCTATCTTCCGGCGCAGCTCGGAGGGAGTGCCCGCCCACCAGCATTAGTAGCTGGTGGGAATGAAACGCGCAAGAGTTTAGTTTTTATCCCACCAAACCAGTCCCCTACTACAGATTTGACAACAAAATCCGATGATCTTTTTAAACATCTCTCTCTCTAAAGAAATATTCCAGGTTGCATGTATATTGCCAGTGCAGTGGCGGAAAGTATAACAGAACGAAGGTCCTCCTTAAAATTATCCATACATTGTAATGAAGGTATCCTATCAACCTTGTACGATGTACATTTGGAAGATGTTTCTTAATATAATATATATTATAACAAGCACCTAAATAATACTTATTTTATCTGAGGAAACCATATGTAGATTGACGCCCAGTTGAAAGGATGGTCGGGGTCGACATTCAAGGGTTTCGCCTTACCCTTTAAGTATGAAGCTTTATGCATAGTTTACAATTGATCTGCTTGATTTCATGAAATTTGAAGGCAACCAATTGATTTACTATGTGACATTCAACTACTTTACTCAGTTGTTTTGAAAACGACCGAGTTTCGTTAAATGATCTACTTGCCAATCATCCTTTGAAATTTTCTGACAAATACACTTCAAAAATTAGAATGAAGCATGTCACAAGTTTCCCTCGCACGTTACAATTTGAAATTATACTCACCGCTTTATTTAATTGAGCTGCGCTGCACAGATACTGAATTTCCTTGCGTGCTTCTGAAAACTTGGATCCTCTAACTCTAGCAAAAAACGATAACTGTTCGGATACAGTCAATTCCTCGAAAAACAGATTCTGTTGGGGGCAGAATCCCATGCTACTCCTTGCCCTTTTCTTCTCTATAACAAATTTGATAATTCACAACTTGTTCAAGCATGTGTCAATTTATTATATTACCATATCGTATATCGTGACCATTAATAACAGCAGTTCCAGATGTTGGTGGCAGCACCCCTGTTATCATATTAACAGTAGTTGACTTTCCAGCGCCGTTGTGACCGATCAAGACACTTATTTGGTTTTCGTAAATATTAAACGTAACATTATCAACGACTACTTTTTTGTTGAATTCTTTGGTCAGACCCACTGCTCGTATAGCGACAGGAAGTTTTGGATCGGGTTGGAATGATTTACCTGTTGGCAACGGGTTTTTCTGTCGAAGTTCGTATTCATCTTCCGAATCTAGGAAGTAAGTAACAATCTGGATAAATATCATGATAGTGAATGCGTGATCAAGAATGAGACAATCACATTTAGGTGCGTTATACATATAATAAGAGAAACGTGCTGTTATCTTCTATAACAAGTTCATATCTCTACAATACAGAAATTCTGGGAAGCAAATAATGATATATCGCGTCTCGCAGAAATATATTCAAATGAGATTTTGTTAATGAGCCCAAGGTGGGTTCCACCATTAACTTTTCAAAATTATTTGAATGTAATCCTCTTGAAGTAGCGATCTAGTTAAAGAGTTCATGGTAGTCAGTAGGTATTCCGTCCAAACTAGACGCAGATCGCGATTTCGATCTCATTGGATTTAATCAGCACGTTGCAAAAAAGGCCAACAAGGCCAATGTCGAATATCGAAACTATATACGATGCGCTGATTAGATCTAATAAGGCTAAAGGTAGTCAGTAGTCCCAGATTGTGATTTCGATCTCATTTGACTCACTGAGCGAGTTGTAAACAGTTTTGGCAGAACACAGGCCGACTCTACCTGCTTTTTCAATATAGCGTTTTATGTATTACTACAAACAGTCTGGTAAACGCCATCTATAGTATATTACCATTAGAATGTTCAAAAACATCCATAAGGATACCGACTTGTCTGTGTTCTAACCGAGCGGCATGGCCTAGAGGTTTAGATCATTGCTTAGCATTCGGGAGGACGCCGGTTCGATTCCGGGTCCGTCTGCCTTGGTCCAAGTTTTTTTTTGGTCTCCTTGGATCACTTAGGCAAATGCTGGGGCAGTAATATTCCACAGATAATCTTTCATTCTCTTTTGTCTTCATTTCGTCCGTCCCAACTTTCTCACCCGAACCACCACCCACCCATTCCCACGATTCCTGAAAGCAGACTGAAGAGGGCCTTCCGCCCTACCTTCTGGCGTAGTCCGGAGAGACTGTCCGTCCACCAGCATTACTGGCTGGTGGGAATGAAGCACCCAAAAGTTGTTTGTTTTTTTTTTCTTCTGTGTTCTGTCGAAACTGTTTACGATACCCAAATGAGATCGAAATTGCGATCCGCGTCTGACGGTTCCAACAGAATACTGACCTCCATGAACTTTTTGCTCTGTTTGGTCACGTGCCTGCCACGTAGGGTGAGCTACGCGGTGGATTCAGTTTGGCAAGTCAATTTCCTTGTTGATCTTCTCGAACATTTTTGAATTACCCTAAGTGTAGCAATATTCTGATATTACGTTTAGTCTGTTAAAAACTTTGCATACTTAATTGATTCTGTTTCCTCCAAAAGTTCCATTTGCAAAAAAAATTCCACGGTTTCGGATAACCAACAGTATACACCATCACCGCATCCAAATATACTGCAATAATTAAATAACCAATTGTTTCTATGAACAATGCGACAAATACCATCGAAAGGGGTACATTAAGAAAATAGGTGGCAACTTGATTCAAATTATTCCAACTATAACCTGCAATTTACCAAAGTTACAGATCGTTTGAAAGATTGTTAAATATTTCTAATTTACCTGACATATAATTTTCTTTGAGAAATATATTGTATAGACCTATTATGTATGCAGTCGTGGGACAGAAGATGAATGTCTTTATGGTAGGGCCATTAACTGTCAGAACAGGCATTACGCTCAAAATTAATAAGAAAATTGTAAAGATAGCACAATATTCCTCTGCAATAGAAAATCAAAGACGTCCATTACTGAGAAAAATTATATATATACCAATTAATAATAAACAATAATTAATATTGGTCGTTGTCATTGCCTAGGACCTTTAGTGTCCTGTACCCATAGGTAGTTAATATTTTAGAATATAATTGATAGAAGTCTTGGATACTTTGTAATAGAAATAAAACACTATTTATTGTTTGTTCGACTAGTTTCGTCTTTATTGGAGCATTTTCCTTAACTATTTACGAACAGTAATCTAATCTAGGCCTACATCTACCCCTTCTAATTCCCGTTTTTACCTCTAATATGTCTCTGACTAGACCTTCATGCCTGAGAAGGTGTCCTACGAAATATCTCGCCTATTTTTTATTAACTTCCATAGAGTCCTCTGTTCTCCTATTCTTTCCAATACCTCTTCATTTTTAACCTTTTCTATCCACGGTATCCTCATCATTCTCCCGTAACACCACAATTCGAAGGCTTCTAACCTTTTCTCTTCCGCCGCGCCCACAGTCCATGTTTCGCACCCGTACAACGCCGCGGTCCAAACATACACGTTTAACAATCTGTTTCGAATTTCTAAATTAAGCGTACGCGAGCATAGAATTGACTTATTTTTATTGAAGGCGATTCGAACTCTGCGCTATGCTCTGCTTTGTATCCCTACTACTCCTTCCGTCCTGACATATCTGACTTCCTAAACACCTAAAGTCACCTACTTCATCTAATTTTTTATCTCCTAGCTTTATATTCACCCCTTTCCTACTTTTTCTTCCCCTGCATACAAGTACAATAAATAGTGTTTTATTACTAACGCTAAATTGAAGTATTGAAAAGTTACAGAAACAATAAAAAATTAAGTTATTTTAGAATAATTACATTTTACCTTTCTTAATGATTGTACTAGTTAGTATAGCAACTGACGAAATAGCTGCACCGAATAATAAATTTAAAAACAATATAACAGAAATGGAAGTATTATTAATAAGGTAAGGTCCCTCCACTGCTGGTATAAAATAAACCAGCAAGGTAACAACTAGTGCAAAAAAGAAAACCATTACTGTACCAGTGAATAACCATGCGCCCCATAACATAACCAAAGAAACCCCTGACATTTCCAATGATTCCTGAAATCAATAAAAATTATAATGTTCAAATAATAATGGAAGAGTAAACTAATTGGCATATATCACAGAAGGTATTGTAAGGTAGTTCTCCATTAAAAATAAATTTTATTGTAAATACAAAAATGCGAAAATATTAAATATTTGTAATATTAAACATGTACAGAGCAGTTGTAGTATTGGCACCAATGATTTAATCTGAAAAAAAAAATTAGCAAGGTCGGCAAAGGTGTTCTTTTTTTCTGTTCAAGCAACAAAACTGAAAAATAAAATCGATTCTTAGGTTGTCTGTTATGTCAAGTAACAATCATTTGGACTTCAGTGGTCGCACTTATTGTTAGTTAGTCGTTTTTCTCTGAATGAACAATTGTTCTTTATATACTATGTCTGATCAGTATTCCGAAATACCTTAAAGGTAACATCTGGAGGCAGTGTAGAGTGCATCTCGTGATAGCGTCGCAACGTAATGGGTGTAACAAGTATACACAAATATTACCCCCCCCCCCGTTAACGTGCCGTCAATGAGTTAGAATAGTTGCCACTTTGGCAGCCGCGTCATCTGATCGCTCGTCGTTATCGCATGCGTCAACTGACGAAATAACTCGTGACCTTCGTAACAGCTGGCACACAAACAGGTTAATTGGCAATGGTTAGCGCTATAAGCACAAAATATAAAAATAAGTTGAGTGTAAGAATATCAATGAAAAAGCAATGTATCTGTACGCAGAATATGCGGACATGATGTCATGGCGGTCATATACGAACGATGCAATGGCAGCAACATACGAATAGGCGCCAGTTGGGACTTCCGGTAAGGTCATTACTCTCATGTTTATGTATATCACTGGATGCCGACCCATCACAGCAAAACGACCCATTCTATTTATTTTTCACGTACCTTCTCCTTTAATTTTTCCAGAGTACTGATCAGACATAGTGTTTGAGGTATGTTCAAAAAGTATCGCGAATTTTGATTTTTCGCTGGTTACGTATATTCGATTTTCGCTTTTTTTGTGGCGTTATGTTGGTACTTATGTCTCTCAATTATACCGACAACTTCGGCCATGTTGAATGTTCACTTAATTTTCGACAGCTGCTTTGCTTGCACGTGTTTTGCCTCGTCTTCGATTTTTGCCCATTTCAAAAAATGGATCAAAGAATCTGTATCAAATTTTGTGTGAAAAACAAAAATTAAGTGCGCGGACGCATTCCGAATGTTGACCGAAGCAACGTCTATGGGTGATCAAAAATATTCTCAGAGGGCCGAGAAGATGTGAACGACGAAGAAAGTGCCGGACGCTCAAACACGTCAACTACAGACGAAGTGAAGAAAATAGTATTGGTCACTCGTCGAATCACCGTTGGAGAAGTTGCTGAGGACCTACACATATCGATTGCCTCCTGCCATTCGATTTTCAATCACGGGTTTATGGTTATGACGTAGAAACCAAAGCTCAGTCATTCACATTGGAAGCTATCGCACGAGCCAACACCGAGAAAAGTGCGCCAAGTTGCGTCGACTGTGAAGGCTTTGCTCACAGTTTTGGTGCATCATGAGTACTTGCCACAGAGTAGAATGGTCAATAAGGAATATTACCTGCATGTTATGCGCAATTTATTCGAAAAAATCCACCAGAAACGCCCGGATTTGTGGAAGAACAAAAATTGGCTTTCGTACCATGGTAACGTCCCAAAATATATTGGGTTGTTCGGAAAGTCATTTCGTTTTTTCCCGACAGAGGATTTAATTGTATTCTTTTGCACCCAACTTCACATTTAAGCCGTATAATTTTTATATGCTTTGAGAGCTCATATAGCAAGGCTAATGGGATACAATGCTACACTCACGATATTCTCCAGACCTGGCACCATCGGATTATTATTTGTTCCGGTCACTCCAAAATTTTTTAGACGGTAAAACCTTCACCTCAAATGAGGTGGTCAAAAACCTCCTCGATCAGTTTTTTGCCAGCAAAGACCAAAAATTTTATGAGCGTGGAATTATGCTACTACCAGAAAGATGACAAAAGGTGTTGGACCAGAACGGTCAATATATAATTTAATAAAGTATTTGTTTATTATACGAAAACTGTCTTTCATTTCCACAAAAAAAACGAAATGACTTTCCGAACAACCCTATACATACAAGTAATGCCGCAGCAACCGTATTCCCCAAATCTGGCGCCCTGTGACTTTTTCTTGTTCCCAAAACTGAAGAGGCCCATGAAACGACAATATTGCGGTACGATTGATGAGGTGAAGACGGCATCGAAGGAGGAGCTGAACAAGATCACAAAAAATGATTTTTTGAAGTGCTTCGAGGATTGGAAAAAACGTTAGTACAGGGGGACAAAATAGATATTCATGAGTAAATAAGTAGTTTTTGAAAAAAACTTAAAATTAGCGATACTTTCTTAACAGACCTCGTGCTTGTATTAGCAAATTGAAATAAAACCAGTTTTACCCTTATCTGACGATTCCTCTCACGTATAATGCTAAGTGTGATCGCGATGTAGACACCGACTACAGCAGCACAAAATAAAATTGGATAAAGAATAATCGATAACTCCCCAAATGCTTTGATGTAAGATGGCTCTGGTAACTGTCGTAACTGTATATCGGTAACTTTAACGTCATGAAAACGTAAAATTGCTCTAGAAATCTTATCTTGTAAGTACATAAAACGTTCTTCATAATTTCCAGCTGAAATTTATTTTTGTTAAATACGCATTCCAAATATATTTTCCAAAGAAAAGTAAAAAGATTTTTGTAATACCATCGACTGGATCGTCTATTTCACCGTATAGCTTGTGTAGGGCACCTTTGGTGAGTCTGATTAATCTAGGAACAAAAATATAAATGCTTCTTANAGTATCTTAAATTACACAAAAGGCCAAACGAATAAAGGCTCATTTCTATGACATCAGCTCCGAACAATACCTCTCCACGCAGTACAGTACAAAGAAATGCTGTCCACAATGTTATCAGCTAAAACTTCAACACCACAGCGCATTTTCCAGAATCATTGTTTTGGTTTTCCGGTGAATACTGAAATGCAAAACTGGTTTTTACATATGATGCAGAAAAAAATACTTTGGGTGCCTCATTTCTACCGGCTATCAAGCTGCTAATCGGACAGTCCCTCTGGACTTCACCTAAGGGTAGAGCCTCTTTAATCTCCTTTTAGGAATCGTGGGAATGGGTGGGTCATGTTTGGAGTAACGAAGATAAGACAAATGAAATGAAGACAGAAGAGAGTGAAAGATTATATGTGGAATATTACTGCCCCAGCATTTGCCTAAGTGATCCAAGGAAACCACAGAAAAACTTGGACCAAGGCAGACGGACCCGGAATCGAACCGGCGTCCTCCCGAATGTTAAGCAATGGTCTAGACCTCTAGGCCATGCCGCTCGGTATTTTTCTTTCAATGACATTTCTTCATTTATGTCGCATAAGCTAGAATGCGTAATTTGTTGAGCATGATGTAGTCAAGGGAAGAAAAAGTAAGGAAAAAGCGAATATAAAGATAGGAGACGAAGAAGTGGCTGATTTTAGGTATCTAGGTAGTCAGATAAGTCAGGACGGAAGGAGTAGGAGTAGAGAAGGGATATATAGCAGAGGATAGCGCAGGGTCGACTCACTTCTATGCTCGAGAACGGTTAATTTAGAAATTCGAGAAAGGTTGTTAAATGTGCATGTTTGGAACGCGGCGCTGTACGGGTGTGAAACATGGATGTTGGACGTTACGGAAAAGAAAAGGTTAGAAGCGTTCGAAATGTGGTTATAAAAGGTTAAAAATGAAGAGGTATTAGAAAGAATAGGAGAACAGAGGACTCTATGGAAGTCAACACCTTCTCAGGCATGAAGGTCTAGTCGAAGCCATATTAGACGCGGAAACGGGAGTTAGGAGGAGTAGAGGTAGACCTAGACTCATTCTAGTTGATCGGATGGATCGGCTTGCGGGTTTCGATGATTTATCTATAAAATAATTAAAACGCAAACCAGATATCTACAAATAAATAAATACAGCTACCTGAAACGAACGTGAATCTCTGGTCCTAACGCTACATCGCCTGCTAAATTATCATCGAATTGTATTCCAGCAGCATTTAACATAGTCGCGCTTCGATTACCTATGAATTTAACTAATTCATTCGAATTTGGGAATGAAGCGAGTTCTAAACCAGTTTCTGCGTTAACATAATTCATAATTTTTTCAAGATTTGGATTTTTCGGTGACCAAGCCAAAGGTAGGAAACCAGCACCTAAACTAAAATGGAAATGCAATATTAACGTTCCAGATGTAATTATGTAATTTAATTTCACATATGTATAACCACTTGAAATCGAAATTTTTGTAGTATTAATTTTTAGAAATTAATTTCTTATTACGAACAAAAAATTAGAAAAAACGTGACCTTACTTATTACTAAAGAGCTTTCAAAAAATTATATTTTGAAATTTAGTAAAAGGGTAGCACCAACGGCTAATAAAATTATGAATCAAATTGACTTTTTTCGTCACACAGTCACATCATATATATATTCAGTTCGTTTTTACAGTAGCTATTAGTAAAATTAATTATAAACATAGTACTTTAGTACATGTACACTCAGAGTGTTGGAAATAAGTGGCAAACTATGGAGGGCGTAACTAGGTGTAATAGGGAATCGCTACCGGAAGCGGCCCTGGACGTGAACTGGCAACAGAGTTATTAATATAGCGAGTTGCGATAACAACCAAGCAACTACAATGAATCAACAATAAGAGAGGATGACGAAAAAGGGAAAATACATCGTAGAAAAGGCCTACGAACACACACACCCCACACCGAATAAACTAAACAGTGTTGTAGCAATTATGTAGGGGAAGTCCGGGAGACGGTCATTGGTAGAGCACGGGAGGTCAATAACCAGCACGCCGCCATTTTTTACAATGTCCCGTTTGTTTGGCTCGGTTCGGATAGGTGTTTTTGTTACGGCGGAGTAAATTTTATTAATTTATGTAGTTTTGAGATTGCGGCCGTGTTTATAGAGGTACGTATTGTGTCTAATTACTATTGTACTGCCTGATTATTGTAGTTTGACTTGAGCTAAGTGTTTTTTCGCTAAGATTGATTGTTTTTCCTGTGAGTAAAATTTCACTTCCTGCAAGGTTGCTCCCTATTTCAGAAACAGTTCTGTGCGCCACTTAATTAAGCCGCACCGCTCCCCATTACATCCCCATTTGCTAGTATAGAAACGCTGATGTATCTCGCCCAATTAGTGTAAAGAACACCTCTATTTCGTCACAAGCCACCAGTGATTTACCTGTTGCCTTCAGTTGGGATCCATGGTCCAGGAACTCTCATCTGTCGTACCACGAAATTCCATCGTAGAGTTGAAAACACAGTGAAAGCCGAAATCAAAATGAACAAAGACAGCAACGGTATACTGCGTCTCATGATATGTAAATTTCTAATGAAGAAGGCTAAAAATTGCCCCATCGCTTCTGAAATATAAAATAACGCGACTTTAGTTCAAAATTGGTATAGTTGGCAATAAAACTGACTTATTTACTTTCTTGTCCAAATTACTAACTGGACTATAGACACAAACACACATACATACACACACACACAAACAAACACATCACACACCCACACACACATACATACAGACTCTCCGCCAACTATGAGGACAATCCAGAGGCTCTTAATAACTTCTTCAGCTGAAGAATGACCTCCAAGGTGTTTTAGGAGGCCATAGTAAGGGACTGAGAATGGACAGGCCGTCGAAGTGTCACAGTATCCCTATAGCTATACTACTAGAATGCCTACTTTTACCCACGACAGACGTTGTAGGAAATATCGTAAACATAAAAAGGAGATGACGGGTAGGAATGGCAGCGGGCACAAAGAAAAGTGAATAACATTACACCAGTTAACGTGTAACAGAAAGAGATGCAGACAAGCAGAATTTTAGCATAAAAACTTTAAAGAAAATTTGACATTCTCAGGAAGAAAATTTGTACAAACTTCTATAAAGAGATTATAATTATACATATTGTAGCGACCACATTGTTGTNTGAAATAAATAGAACAGTGAATAGTAACAGTAGTGTAAATAAATAGAATAATTACCGAAGTTTAGTAATAATTTAATAGTGTTTTTAAGTTTAATAGTAATTAGTGTAAATAAATAGTTTTCTTCTTAAAATTTAATTTGTTAAACCCACGAACGTTACAATATATTACTCTTATAATCAAGTGTCATATTAGCGTCGAATACACATTTTAAATTTTTGCCTGTTCCAGATGCAACTGCTTAGTTAAATAATTATTCCTAACCCTGCTGATGATAACCCAACCCGCTTTCCTAGGTTTACAGTCTCACCTATTCGAAATGAGGGTTTAGTGGAGGAATCGCAAACCCAAAGACAGATTACACAGAATAAATAACGAGATTCAAAACATTTTTTAGGTTGGTAGTCGGAAAATACGAAAAAAACCCTATATACTGTCAGAATCCATCACCACCCCTCAGATTTAATGGTCGGCGAATATTCTACAACGTCTTTGATTCATCCGGACCACATTACTTTAGAACATTCCACCTAAAGCACTCGAAAAAATTCTAGTATATTCTCATGTATTCCAAAGGGATGTTTGGTGGCCAATGGTGTACCGCATACACACACCTATGCACCTACCTAACTGAAAAAATTTCAAACATTATAGGAGATTCGAAGCATTTTTTTGATCGAAATATGAAAATTCCTTTGGCTGACTACTTTTCACCAAGATTTCTCCTACGGTAACCAAGTGCACAATAAGAGGCTCGATGCTACAACCACTGAACAGTTATCGCTGTGATGTGAAATAAGTAAATGCACAAGCGTGTCTATTTTAAGTTCTGTGTATTGTTGTTCTGTCCTCTGTTTACATGCACCTGTAGTCATGATTTGGGCCTAGCGGAGGAGTACACTGAATCTGTTTAACATCCCGTTTGAGAGTTGCATGAAGAAGAAATCGCTTCTACGAAGGATCCGTCAACAAATTTTATAATTTTTAATGTAGTCACAACTACCCACAATGATTTAGAGAATAATTGCAGTTTCAATAATTTATTGTCTGTCCACTGATACATAAACTGTAAAACACTTTCTCTACAATGTAGCTTCTTCAGGTGAAGAAGATGAAGAATGAATCTTTCCACACAATGAATTATTGAAACTATTGCAACTACTAATTAAACAGTTAAAGGTTAGAGAAGATCATACCTGATAATAACCTCGTCCAATTATATTTTTAAATACAGATGAAAACACCTTTCAAAGATATGACAGGAAATGTATTACAATTTTCATAGCGACCGTGATAATTATAGGAATGCCTACAGGTTGAATTAAAATTATAAAGTAAACTCAGTTCGTGCTTTATTTATTTATATATAGATAACAAAAGTCGTACACACATTAAATACATATGTATTAGTCTACACTTTAAAATAAGGTATAACACCTCGCCTAGTTTCTCCTGCTTCCGCTGCATTGATCTTATTCAGCGCAGCATTGATTGCTTCTTCTGAAATGTTTATGAAAATATAGAATCAGTAACGTACTATACGATGGTATATTTTTCAAAAAATATCCTGATACGGAATTCTCACGCTTATCATTACCGGTCCAGACATTTAATGTCAATGGTCTTAATACATTTTCCATAAATCTCAAAAAAAAAGCAATAATTTGCTAAAAATTACATAGGGATTCGCAATGTACGGCGCAAGCTGTAGGTAATAAGAACGTCACCAACTTATGTTTGGCAGTTCGCTGCGCAGGAAGTTAGTACGCATTGGATTTAACGTATGCGTTTTATGTTGGACAATGCCGAAATAATGCGTAGTCACTCATTGCGCAGCGGTCTATGCGTTTCTATTCTTAATTATTTAGAGCGGGTTAAGTTTTTGTTATTATCTCCAGTTTATAAGCAGTTGAAAATAATATTAATTGGTATTTACTACTTATTTTGCTTGCCTTTTTTTTAAATTCAGCATCGAAAGATTTTACGAAAGTTTTTCTCCATTTTCTTGTATCCACCTTTTCCTTTTCCATTGATCGTTTGTATTTCGCTGTTTCAACGCCACCATCATCTACATCATCAATCAAGTCGTTATTTTGATTTGTCAAGTCTTGGTTTTCCTTGTCTTCAGCTGGAGTAACGTTTCCGAATTGAATTATCAGAAAGAATAATGTCATTGAGACAAGAAGTAGCTAAAAATTAAGAATTCCATTTTTTAAAAAGCAGTTTTATACTATAGATACTTAGTTCCTTAAAGTACTTTTTGAATGCACGTAAATTGCTAGCTAGGAATAACACAAGATTGATCAGAAAGGTTATTATTTTAATAATATGTAAGTATGATATGGAGAAAAGCAATTCTGTTTTTAGAGAATTTGAAAGTTACATTTCAGAAATTTTATGATCCTGAGATTAGTTTTATGCAATTCACTCTAGTTTTTCATATTTGCTGAATCCTCAATTGTTGTCTCGTATAGGGGAAAATTTCAAAAAGTGTTCAGCTATAAGCAGTTCAAAAACCCTCCAAAATGGCGCTGACGTAGGCAAAGAGTATGGTATGAATGTAGCAGTTGCTGACGGATTGAAGTAAGTTGAGTTAGAAAGTTGGATATTTTTAGTGACCAGAGTAGTTAGTGACTGTCCGATACTATCGAAAGTCACCATGAAAGCGAAGTAAGGACACATAATCATCATCATCACCATAAGATTGTCAGTCCTAAGACTGCTTGGTCACGCGCCTCTACTCTTTCCTATCCTGAGTTAATCTTCGCATTTCCCTAAAACTAGAACAACCCATATCGTTAACTATATGCGAACAGTAATCTAATCTAGGTCTACATCAACCACTCCTAACCCCCGTTTCTGCCTCTAACATGTCTCTGACTAGACCTTTATGCTTGAGAAGGTGTCCTACTAACCTATCTCGCCTATTTCTTATTGACTTCATCCATAGAGTCCTCTGTTCTCTAATAAGTCTAGGCACTTTTTTGATATTTACCTTATTGCTACTATGACGCCACCCTAATTTAATGCATTTTTTCACAAAAGATACAGTTCTCCTTATCTCTACCCCCATATATGAAAGGTGAGAAACTACAACGTAATCTACCAGGTACCATTTACTGTTTATTATACTATAACATCCGATGCGAGGAAATTGCTCACAGAGCTGAAAGCCAGAATGGGAAAATTATTTCCTAATATGGAGTAAATACGATTTTTGACACGGGAAGGAATGTTCTGCTTTTAGCAGGGGTAAACTGTGAACTGTTTGACTATCCTAAACTAAACATTTTGATAACATCGAGAACATGAAACATTTGTCGGTTTTTTGATCCACAATTTTATATAGATATTAATTAGTAGTAATTAATAAACGTATTTACTTACCTTGTGATCCATTTTACTTATTTTCTTCGTCTTGAATACAAAATACACTAATATAGACTGAGTTTATTCGACCAATTTATAGATTGGTTCAATTTGCAATGGCTATATGTTCAAATGCTTATTGAATTCTGAGGTTCCACTGATTATTATATGGTTATTCATATTTTAAAATAGAACAACGATTTTAAGTGATCATAAATTATATTAAATACACACATCGGTATTTAAAATATAATTTATGGTTAAACAAATAAAAATGTAAGTACAATACCTGCTTTCATTTTAAGTGCAAAACTAAAGCCTGCCCATTAATATTTCGTAACGTCTGGAAAAACAGGACTCGATTATAACAAAGTTTAGCGAAAATTAATCCTGCAGCACAAATATACATAGAGTAACAACACACATTTGCTTAATAATTTTTTTTATTCATTTTCTCTTTTCTAAGATCTTACAGTAACATAATTAGAAATATACATATATTCTATATGGCATAAACACGAACGTAGTCAACTTGCAGAGCAGAATTCAGACCATCCCATGTAGGCAACCATTGGTTTCTGCCATTCCAAAAATCGGTTGAAGCCTACCAAGAAGAAAAATTACATATTAATTCTGGTTCAAGTTATAATTGATCTTTTTGTGTTCCTTGAAAGTTCAATAGAATTTAACATCTACGAAAGTTTCTTATCTACTTCGTTAGCGTCTACACGAAAACCCTCATGACACTGGTACTGCTTCATATTTATAAAACAAAGTCCACTTACCCTTCCAGAAGTATTTTCCCATGGCTTGGCACCATTCCCGTTAACTACGTCATCAGGGAAATAGTTGGTGCCACCAACTGCCACGTTTAAAATAATGTAGAAATTTTGGTCAAACGGTGCCATTCTCGAGTTAGTTCCCCATGGGTTGCTGTAACCACTGTTTGCCAGATCCCCGAAATCCCAGAAGTTGGTGTTCGGTGCAACAGATCCTATCGTTTCCCCATCAACTGTGAATGTAATGCTCTGGTCAGTCCAAGTCACGCCGTAGACGTGGAAGTCATCATTCCATCCAGCTGCGTTATTTTTGGTCCAATGGGTCCGAGAGTCTCTGTTGGCGAAGAAAGAAGGTCCCCAGTGGAGAGTTGAACCGTGCTGTTGGACGCCAATTTGTTCTCCGTTTTGTCTTAGATCGGCGTTTCCACGGACTTCACTAATGTCTATTTCCCCTGATGTTGGCCATCCTCCATAAGCGTTGTAACGGGGCATCATCCATATAGCTTTTTTAAAAGAGTTCGTTCATGAAAATACTCTAAATACTTTAATATCTTACCTGGCCAAATCCAATCCCCTTTTGGCATCTTAGCTCTAATTTCAACTCTACCATAGGTGAAGTGAAACGATTTATAGGTTCGGAGACGAGCACTCTTGATGGGATTCAAGATGTTGTCAGGAGTACCGCTACGCTCACATCCATAGTTGGCATTATTGGTACAACTAAAAACCAATAAGAAAGATACAACATTAACATTATTGACTGGCCCAAAGTTCGGAAACTAACGCACTACAGAGCAAGTACTTGTTGTGGCTGTTTTTAGTTTTAGTAAGCCTGTTTATAACAAAAATTGATTTATTGATACTTACGATTCTTCTTCGGTTGCTCCATATAAATTGACTGTGGTGGATGTCAAACCTGCCTCTCCAACGTGATCAGCTGTAAGCGTTGGTACAATTTTCAGTACTCCGTCGCTCACGTAGCTATTTGTCCTATTATTAGTGTACCACTCGAATTCCCAGTTCTATAATGATAAATAAAATAAGGATAAGGACAACGAAACATATTATGATGTGGAAGTTTAAATATTAAAAAAATCTTACAGTGCATAATCATAGAAGAAGTGGCTGATTTTAGATACCTACGAAGTCAGATAAGTGAGGATGGAAGGAGTAGTAGGGATATAAAGCAGAGGATAGCGCAGGGTAGTGTCGCCTTTAATAAAAAGAAGTCACTTCTATGGTCGCGAACGGTTAATTTAGAAATTCGAAAAAGGTTGCGGATGATGAGGATATCGTGGGTAGAAAAGGTTAGAAATGAAGAGGTATTGGAAAGAATAGGAGAACAGAGGACTCTATGGAAGTCAATAAAAAATAGGCGAGATAGGTTGGTAGGACACCTTCTTAGGCATGAAGGTCTAGTCAGAGACATATTAGAGGCAGAAACAGGAGTTAGGAGAGGTTAATAGTTAAGGTGTGGGCTGTTCGAGTTTTATGGAAATGCGAAGTTTAGCTCAGGACAGGAAAGAGTGGAGGTACGTGTCCAACCAGTCTTAGGACTGATGACCTTATGATGATGATGATGAGTGCATAATCGTATAAAAAAAATGACTTACACCACCTCCGGTAAGAGTATTTTCGTGTTGCCATTTGGTAAAGTCAAGAAAGTCGAATTCATCTTGGAAAACGAGATCTCCGGAGCAAACGGTTGAAGGTGCCTTTTCACCGCCTACCTTTGTAATGGACGAAAGGCAGTCACCATACACGTATGCCACAAAGCATCCACACAATAATACCGTAAATTTTAGCATGTTTCCTGTATGAGCAAATTTTTATATTCAGTTTTTTGAAAGGTAAATCGGTTAATTGGGGTTATTGAGTTTCAGTTCTTATTACCAATAGGCCAAAATTGGGATAAGGGAATTTTGTTACTATTTAATTCCAGTTTTAATATCAATTTGTATTAAGTGCAAATGTATTAGATTACCAGTAAACTTTTAATGTTTGGATTAATGCGAAAAATTTCATGGCGAAGAACCGTTTGTGCCTTGACCGAATTGGCATTTGACCAATTGTATGATATTTGAGCAATTTCCTAGTCATTTACAAATTGTCGTTAATTAAACCATCAGTTCCAATTATATGATTAATGGAATTATATTGGAAAATATTTCAAAATTAACTGAAATATGTAAATAAATCAATGTAACTGTGACAACAAGCACCTATCTTGTTAAGTGAAACAAATAAACACTTAAATTACGATATAGGTATCTAAGTACGTTTAAAAATATGCAAACAATCGCTGAATGCAAAGTCTACCTGGTTGTGCAATCATAAACGGAAAACAATTGTCATTATCATGCTACCGTTGTCGATGAGCAAAACACTTACTTTTTAATTGTGGGGATCTCCCATACCATAACCTAACCCACAGAGTCTAGAAGAAAGAGAAACATTTTCTATGCACTGGTAGAGGAGAAGTACAGTAAGCAAATCCAAAACATTAATAGAACGTTTTTTTGCCGAACGCAAAGAAGAAGTTATAATAAATTATTGAAAAATCACCGTTTAAAAGTATACTCCCTTATGGATTTGCAATTTATCATGTAAATCGTAGGTATTCTGGGTCAAGATAGACATAAACAGTAGTTCCAGAGTTTAGAGCTTCTAAACTCCAGAGATTGTTCAGTGTCTTATACTCACTCGCTCTCAATTAATGTTTGAAATTTTCTTACCACAAGTTCAACCTAAAGGTGCAACTCCTTTTTCTAGACTTTCTGACTTAAACCTAACCTATTCTCTTGCTCAAATTGTGTCCTAAGCGTCTTTTAAGGTTGAAATGCATCTGGCAAAATTAATAGAGAATTTAATTTACATTTAAACCCGGCCGTTTATTTGCAAGTGTTTACTTCCACCTCAAATGAGTGAAAATTAGCAATATTTAATTGAAAATTCCAATTAAACGGTAACATTCTGGATATCAAAAGTAGGTTTAAGGGACGCTTTCGTCCATTATCTAAACATTTTAAAGGTCAGCTAAATCTAGAATATTATGTCATCAACTATCTCAGTTGCATCGTTTTCAGGCACAAGCAAAAGACTCCTTTTTAGGGTTCCGTACGTCCGAATGAAAAACGGAACCCTTATAGGATCACTGGCGTATCTGTCTGTGCGTCTGTCACAGTCAGTTTGCCCCGAATCTGCAAATTTACATTCGCAGTTTGCATGTGTGGTTTAAAACGCTTTTTTTCCACTACAATGTTAAGTTAGTTCTCGGATTAGGGTTCTGTACGTCCGAATGAAAAACGGAACCCTTATAGGATCACTGGCGTATCTGTCTGTGCGTCTGTCACAGTCAGTTTGCCCCGAATCTGCAAATTTACATTCGCAGTTTGCATGTGTGGTTTAAAACGCTTTTTTTCCACTACAATGTTAAGTTAGTTCTCGGATTAGGGTTCTGTACGTCCGAATGAAAAACGGAACCCTTATAGGATCACTGGCGTATCTGTCTGTGCGGCTGTCACAGTCAGTTTTCCCCGAATCTGCGAGGCGATTAATTTGAAATTTAGTAGACATGTGAATTTCTGTGATCCAAATACGGACTCATAACGTAAATGAATTAATTTCGAACATGGGGATCATTTTTGTAGGGCCAATAGGAAATTAAAAGAATAAGTTTTGAAAACTGTACCGTGGGATATATCAACTAAAAGGGCTTGTTCTAAGGGTCTCAAATATATAATTTTAAAGTTATTTAAGAAAATAGATGAAAATTGACCATACGCCCTCCTTATCTCTGAAANCAGCATTCTTGTCCTTGGGCTTCAATTTCATACTTTCTTTTCTTTGTTGCAATACTTCTTCTATTTCTCCCAATTTCATATTTCGTCTTGGTAGAAACAAGGGGCTTAAGGTGACTTTTCCGCTCATGTGTTTTCCCACAAGGTTGACCACTTCCGCCGGACTTATAACGTCCCATAACCCATCCGAAGCTATTACCAAAAACTTGTCATTCGGAGTCAGCTTGTGGTAATTCACTTCTGGTTTAGCAGTTAAATAAGGAGGCGTGTGGTAGTTTGGGGGAAGATATTGGTCGCCCAATACCTTTACCACTACGTTTTGCATAATGTCTTTGCTCCATTTGTACCTGAAATCACCTATAGAACGAAGAGGAGCCAGCTGACCAAGGAGCCGATCCATTCTGAGAACAGTGTCGCTTTCAGTTGTCGGATGTTCCCCTAATATCCTTTCGACTTCTTCCGCATTTTCTATATTGTGCTCCACTGTTAATTTGGTCGCTGTCCAATGATTTTCTTTTTGAGTACCTTGAATTTCAAAAAACAAAAACATAGGAAGAGCTATCAATGAGACAGAGAAATAATTTACACACCGAGCACTGCACAAGCGTCACCAACGTGAGCAATATTGAGATGAGGACCATTAATATGGGCAATAATTGCAACACATCCAGACATGGCAACGGACAAAGTTTTCATATTGACGCCTCCAGATGGAGTAGTCAAAGCTTCCCTCGAAATATCGTCGTCTAAACGCAAGACTGCTTTTTCCAAAGCTTCGTGAACATTGGTCCATGATCTATTTGTGTCCTAGGGGAAAGAGAAACAAATAAATATCAAAAATTGATATTACTAGAAAGTATATATGTATTATACCTTTATTAAATCATTTACGAATAATTTAAAACTATTCCTATAAATATCACGAACGTCTTCTACAAATTGCACTTTGTCGTTATAAGTTTTGAGCAGTTTCATTGGCTCATTTGTCTCCGCCAATTGAAGATACTCTTTCAATTGATCAGGCGACATGAGGCAAGCGCTGATGTATTTGAAAATACGTTTTGCAACTACCTGGGCACAAGCTCCTCCACCATGACCATCAAAGATTCCCATGAGAATACCTAAAACAAATTGTAAGCACCATCTAAATTCGAATCAGAGAAATGTACAAGGTGCAAAAGACGATTCATCTACGGTACCTGGTGTTGGGATACATGAAGCTTCTGACCTGGTATCTTCGATGGGATTGTTTGAAGCCAATTGATTGGAGTCATACGATTTAACAGATTTGTGTTCAGGAAATTCGTAACTGAATTCATTTGCATGCAGGACTGAATCAACCTGCAACAATTATTACTTTGAAGATTTGATTCAAGGAAAACTATAGTGAAACTACCGCTGCACAATTATGGTTTGCATGATGCCCAATGAAATTACTAGAATTGATCAACTTTGAGACATACATTTTCATTTTCTTTTTCCTTAGATTTACTTGCATCAATTTATCAATTTGTCTGCTATCTTGTTTTTGTTTAATACATATTAAAGAGTTCATAGAATATGAAAACTAGGCTATCATGCTTTACAGTCCCTTTTTTACAGGCTGTGGCGCTACGATGTGTCATCTTGAATCAAAAAGAACTATTTGGCGAACATGGTAAGTCACCACGTACAATTAGAATAAGTTTGAATTAGTAATTACTACAATATACCGCGAGACATTACAAAACTAAAAACGAAACCCTTACAATTTCAAAATAACATATTAATTATTATTTCAATAGCACTGGTTACCTATATTTCTTAGTGAAAATACATTTTCATGAAAATATTTATTCTAATTTATTACACGTACAATTCTCAATAAGTACATTTAAATGTGCTTATTAACAACAAAAGTGACTAATTATAAGAATTTTTATTATTGTGACTCTTTTAAAACGGCTGATAGCAACAAAATCTGTATTGTTTCGTAAGGGAGCGAAAATCATCGTTGTAATTTTCTTCTAGGTACTCATTATTTACATTAGTTTAAGACATTATTATATTTAGCGTTTTGGGCAGAACATTGTAAATAAGAGATAAGGTATGATATGATACGTATGTTGTTTTGGTATGCTTGCACAATCACTTGACATCAAAAATATGCATAACAGTTAAATTGTAAGGCTTAATTAAAACGCTAAAACCAAGAGCATTCAATTTTACAGAAAAATTAATAGCATAGTGATGATTAACTGGAGTTCTAATTAAATAATACACATTTACAAAAAGGTACATTTATTGTCTTCATAAATATACAACTTCAGTAATAAAGGGCCACTAAAGGGACTACATAGTTGTGTATAGGTGATGTCATAATGTCTTACGTGTTTGTTCTATGGACTACGAAATAATACAGGAAAAAAGTATAAACTAGCGAGGAGGAGACTGTCGAGGATATAGAGGTATCATGTGCCGTACATATGAAGTTTTATAACTCATTCATTGGAAAAATGAATGAAAATCAGCATTATTTTTTCTAGTTTTTTATTTAAAATTTTAGGCATTATTCGTTTATTTAAGACAGGTACCTAATAAATGTAGGCAATCTCCACCGCTAACAGTAGAACGTCAAATGAGATTATCTATAATAGATAGGAGTGTTAATAGTTTTCCTGAAAATTATATTCATCATCCACTTACAGTAACAAAGAAGAATATCAAGGTGCTTGAAACAAACGTTTTTTTATCATTTTAAATAGTAATTTTCAAACGCGATCTAAGATCTTCTAATAGATTAAGTCGTATCGTCTAAAACTTCTATCAAAATATAGTTTAATCAAAAAATAATAATAATAAATGAATACTTCGATAAAATATTGATCTCCCTATTTATCAATAAGTGCATATGTGTGTAGTTTTTCAATGAAACGTATAATCATATCATTATTATCATATGTAGGTCGTCAATCTTAACACTATTAGTTGAACAGGCATCTCAACTGATTCATTCTCATTCCTTAGTTAATTTTCACATTTGTTTCAAACGAAAACATCTCAAATCTCTATTTGTGAACAATAATCATGTATAGGTCTATCTCTGCCAGTCTTAATTCTTGTTTCTACTTCTAATAAGTCTCTTACTAGTTCTTGATGTCTGAAAAGGTGTTCCACCAATCTATTTCACATAAACTTTGAGCCATCTGAAGTGGCCGCTACAATAATAAAATCCTGAAGATTTATAACCTTATTTTGCCGAATGGTTAGCATTCATAAGAATAAAGTCTGAATTTTATTTAGTGAGAATGTTAAGGGACACAAACCCTTATTGAATATATCTTTGCAGCTGAAATTCAACAAAAGTATTGTGCTACCTGATGCGCATCTCTCATATTTCGATAAAAAACAGTAGCAGAATTCTTTTGAATACACCGTTCTGAAAGTTTTCAAACTATTTTGACCTTTGTAGGTACAGGTACATAACAGAATATAAAACGGGTTCCGCTTGAATGGTGCCATAAAGTTGTAATTTTGCACAAAAGCAATGTATTATTGACACTTTTATTGCATGAGTCGTCACTTTAGCTGGCTCAGAGTTTATTTCTTAGTAACTTCTACAGCGCCTTCTGTACTTCGACTCTTCCTAATGCCTCCAACATTTCTTACCATGCTATGATATAATTCTAACTTTATATTTTCGGTAAATATTAATTGAAATAAAAATTATTTTTGATGACATATAACCGAATCATTATCTTACGTTTAGTTAAATCGCCTAGTTTAAACTCAGAACTTTATTACAATCATGTTTAAAAACGGAATAAGCCAATCTATGCTAATTATGTAAGTTAACGACAACTTCTCATCGGAAATGTCAAATTGTTATTGCACTTAACAATTGGAGATATTTACTTTTTGTTTATTCAATTAACAAAAACAATATCAAGCAAATAAAAACATCTTCAGATAACAGTGACATTGGTACTTTTGATTTACCTAAATATGATGCGAATATCTGTCATTACAGTAGTAAATATTGCCAATATCATTAATCATTCAAAACGAAACCGTAATTTTGTACAAACAGTAGGCATATTACGCACCAAGGGAAAAAAGGTCTCAATTACCACCTGGGCCGAAGGCGTAGACGACAAACTCCCGGGGAAGTATTCCGTACTTCTTCCGGAAGCCCTCCGCGTTGTTTTCACTCTTGCAAACGTGATTTCATACCTGGGAGGTTATGTTGCGCTTTCTAATCCACGAAATTGGGAGAAATCGTACTTACTTTCAAGGCGGGACTATATCGCAACAAATCGTATACGGGTATCAGGAAGAAAGCAGGGAATTCCTTCAGGGAATTTTCCGATTTATACGGTTCATAAGGAATGATATATTCCTAATGGTTTAATAAAATTGTTTATTAGGTATATATGAAATGTAATTTTCTGGATTGTCCTTTCCCCGACATGCATTTGAAAGATTATCCACTGTTTGCGACATACTGGCCATTATGAAAATTTCGCGAATTCAAAAAAATTGACAATCTAAGAAATTAAAAATATGTATAACATTGTATTTCACTTTGACTGTAGCTTCTCGTTATGAGCAAAACATGACCATGACCTAGTCTTGATCTTACTTTTGGTCTTGCTGATAGTCTCATTTAATTTTATACTTTCGTTTTTTTTTTTTAATAATTCGCAGAAACTTTTCTTTTTTTTTTAACTAACGCATAAATTGATTCATCCTCCAATGCCTAAAATTGACCTGTTAGTAAAAAAACATTCTTATAGACCCTTTTTTCAAACAGTGGTAAAATTTCTTTTTTTTTTATATTTAGCGTTAAAATATAATAAACTGAGTTTTAAATACTAAAAATTTTTGTTTCAAGAAAAGAACATATTCAAGTTGCTTCAAATAGTTTAACTCATAAATTCACCGGAAGTAATCATTTTTTGTTTAGTCTTGCATTTGGTTTTGGTTTTGGTTTGTTCATGTTCGTTCGGTCTTTGTTTTAGTCTTTCAAAAAGACCAAGACTGCAAAACGAAGACCAGTTTAGCTCATCACTATTAACTTCACAAAAATGGAAATAAAAAATGTGTAGAAAACCTTGCAAAAAATTGCGAAATTTAAAAAAAACACAAAGCCACTTATTTTTATCGAAGTAGATCTTAAAAAGTAGATACATTCTTTGATAACGTATTAAGAACAATAGTTTTATTAATAAATTTATTTATCATCAACTAATTTTAAATTTATTAGGACATAATTCTATGAGATTTTATTATTTTTCATAAAAAGTATTAAGTATAAATATCTTTTTTNTTTAAACAAAGATTTTATGTTATCGAAGTATGTCATCGAACATTAGGAAAAATATTTTTTACAATTATCTACATAAATATTATGTATGTATAATCAATTAGAATTTCTATGGATTTGAATATAATTTAATTCAGGAATAATGCAGACATGCACTGTACAAAGTATTTTTTTTCTATAATCTATTAAGTATTAGTTAGCAACTTAAAATGACAAGTACCTAGCGTAATTGAGAAATATCCTTGATCAGTTATTCAATGGCATAGTATCCTTAGGGTTGCCTAACACTATAACGGGAATATAAGCGGGAATGTACGTATAATATGGGGCATAGAGCATACAAGGTTACCTATGACTAGGGAGCGAACGTATAAGGTCCGTATTTCAGCCGCCTATGCCTGAGACAGGCAAACTTTAGCTTCGAAGGAGCCGCTAACTGAAGTTAGTTTGGATCACTAAATACCCTTCAATGAGTACGAGAGAGGAATAAGCAGTAATGATCCATATTGCTTTCTCTTTTTCTTCTACTCCCATACCAAGCCCCTCCATCCCGTAGACGAGCGAAACCTCTCTTGCAACCTAAATAATACCTACAAAAATGATCGTCCCGCAGCTCAGGGATAGCATGCCAGACTATAGTCGCAATACTATTGGGTTCGGCTATGGAAGAGGGGACTACGAAATGGAAGGGATAAGAAAAGGAAAGAATCATCTCACTCGCATTGACAGGAGCAACGAGGCTATACACTCGAGAGTCAAAAGAGCCGAGTTTGCCCGACTCTGGCCTATGGAGTCAACAAAAACTGCATGTTGCTCTTTCTAACAGTTGCAGTCCTATGCTTTCCTAAAAACGGCTGAAATGCCTGTTTACACCATTTAAATGGTAGATTACCGTCCTAAGTATGCCCCCATGTGCTAATAAGTCAGTTTACTTTACGTGACTATACTTAAAAATCACATTTTCTCTTTTACAATATGTGGGGTTAGTTACCATTACCTTTTGGACTGGTTCATAAACGTAAATAATAACGGTCTATCAATAATTGTACAGTAAGTACCTGTATTTATTTAATATCCAAATGGAGGCAATCTATAGTCATCTGATAAGTATGTGCTGCCACTGAAGTATTTCAAGTGTTAGATAAGATCTTACTATTATTATGGAGGTAATGACATTTAGTAAGTCCTTGTCTAACGCTTGAAATACTTCAGCAGCAGCACATACCCATCAGATGGCGATACCCTACCTTATTTTGGATATTAAATCAACTCCCTTTTTAAGAGTTTCTTCGGTTTCACCAGTAGTTAATGGAGACTTCCTATGGCGTACTGAGAAGATCTAATTAAATCAAAATTGCAATCTGCGTCTTGTACATTCGATATTGTTTTCACCAAGAATATAAGTAATAATATTTATGAGTCAAAAACTCAAAAATGAAAAAGACGCGAAAGCAATTACATCACTAAGGTAATTGCGAGATCACAATGGTTAGTATTTCTAATAGCAATAACTATTATTATCTTGTTCGTTGTTAATACTTACTAAACCAAAGGAGACTACTGAGATCACTATGTAGATGAGTAAGTACCACCTTGTGGTGAAACAAACTACACTTTAAACCTATTATTTTATACACTTAATTTGAGTTCCATATGATGATGGGAACTTCAATGGTAACCTGGTAAATTCTTTCAAGATAATTTACAACGTTGAAAACTCTGACGTTTTTAGATACATCATCCTAGAAGCTTTTAAGGGACATTAAGCAAAATGCGGGGAAACGTTTATTAGTTGTGGTGGGAACGAGATGTAAACGGTAGGGTTGTTTCTACCCTTTTACATGTGACCACTATAGAGTAGTATCTCACTCCACTTGTAGTATTTTCGAGAGTCAGATCTTTGCTCATTCCTGCTGTTCAGTGTTATCATCATCATCATTATCGGATTTACCAAGCTACATAACAACTGAGAAATACTAATTCATGAACTCCAATGTATCTGGAATATGATCCAGAGTATATTCAAGGTACTATATCACTGAGGAGACATGGACACATGATGTAAACATTTGGGAACATTAATTAATTGCCTAAGTTTAAACCTTACCTTACAATTATGAACTACCTTCGCCACTACAATAAAACATCTGCATAGATGGTAGGTGTATTTATTTGAAAATTTTCAACTTATCGGTGCACTTATTCTCTTCTACAAATCGCATTACATTATGAAAAGTTGAGAGAGAGGAGGGTCTTTTGAGTATATTTTTTGTTTTCCTAATAAGAGAAGTATTTAACATCGTTNCGGGAACCTTGAATATGCTGACACAGAGTAGATTCTTTTGAAGATTTGAATACTAGTTAGGGTCAAAACGCACAGAAAATACCCCATTCATGCACTCTCTCATTCACTTCCTCTTTTACAGGCCAATCTCGGTAGCCTCCTTTCTTATTTTCTTGGTTCAAGATTTGAAATTTGTACAAACACTTACCTAAGCAGTTTTACCTATAATTCCTAAAACATGACATTATTACCCTGACTAAGTATCTAAAGATCATGTAAACTGACCAGCATATGATCCCTACAGTGATCTGTATTTCTCTGCTTCCCCCGCAAAAATTAATTCCTAATTTAAAATTTTACCTATATTAATTACTAAACAATTGCAGGACGAATCGAAAAGCTAAAGGAGGAAATCATCAGAATCAACATTCTCACAAGAGGTCATGTTTTCTTTGATCCCCTGAATACGTAACACAAGAAAAATAATTGATTGATAATTTCATATATATTTTCTCCGGTGTTGTATCACTTCGAAAAAAAGTTACAAAATATATTATGTACTTTTTATACAATGTTATTAATAAAGATCCGAAAATATTCTTTTGTCGGTAGTTGTAATGTCGGAACTTGCTTCACAATGCGAGTAATCATTTGTAAGACTATTAAACACTTCACTGAATCATAAACATTCTCCTACATTAGAGAAGAAACTAATTTCGATACGTATGGACATCCAAAATTAGGCGTCCAGTATAAATAATTTAATATGATACTACGGCGGACAGTGACCTAAATAATCTGAATCAAAGTAAATCACAGTAACTGTAATGTCGTCCCTAAAAACTCTAGAAACTTCAACAGGTAGACTGAGCATCTGAGAAAGTTTGCCATGGTCAATTCCAAACTCAGTACCGCCTAACGCGTTTCGTATTAAATGGGTGGCAGCATTCTTGTCCTTGGGCTTCAATTTCATACTTTCTTTTCTTTGTTGCAATACTTCTTCTATTTCTCCCAATTTCATATTTCGTCTTGGTAGAAACAAGGGGCTCAAGGTGACTTTTCCGCTCATGTGTTTTCCCACAAGGTTGACCACTTCCGCCGGACTGATAACGTCCCATAACCCATCCGAAGCTATTACCAAAAACTTGTCATTCGGAGTCAGCTTGTGGTAATTCACTTCTGGTTTAGCAGTTAAATAAGGAGGCGTGTGGTAGTTTGGGGGAAGATATTGGTCGCCCAATACCTTTACCACTACGTTTTGCATAATGTCTTTGCTCCATTTGTACCTGAAATCACCTATAGAACGAAGAGGAGCCAGCTGACCAAGGAGCCGATCCATTCTGAGAACAGTGTCGCTTTCAGTTGTCGGATGTTCCCCTAATATCCTTTCGACTTCTTCCGCATTTTCTATATTGTGCTCCACTGTTAATTTTGTCGCTGTCCAATGATTTTCTTTTTGAGTACCTTGAATTTCAAAAAAAAAAAACATAGGAAGAGCTATCAATGAGACAGAGAAATAATTTACACACCGAGCACTGCACAAGCGTCACCAACGTGAGCAATATTGAGATGAGGACCATTAATATGGGCAATAATTGCAACACATCCAGACATGGCAACGGACAAAGTTTTCATATTGACGCCTCCAGATGGAGTAGTCAAAGCTTCCCTCGAAATATCGTCGTCTAAACGCAAGACTGCTTTTTCCAAAGCTTCGTGAACATTGGTCCATGATCTATTTGTGTCCTAGGGGAAAGAGAAACAAATAAATATCAAAAATTGATATTACTAGAAAGTATATATGTATTATACCTTTATTAAATCATTTACGAATAATTTAAAACTATTCCTATAAATATCACGAACGTCTTCTACAAATTGCACTTTGTCGTTATAAGTTTTGAGCAGTTTCATTGGCTCATTTGTCTCCGCCAATTGAAGATACTCTTTCAATTGATCAGGCGACATGAGGCAAGCGCTGATGTATTTGAAAATACGTTTTGCAACTACCTGGGCACAAGCTCCTCCACCATGACCATCAAAGATTCCCATGAGAATACCTAAAACAAATTGTAAGCACCATCTAAATTCGAATCAGAGAAATGTACAAGGTGCAAAAGACGATTCATCTACGGTACCTGGTGTTGGGATACATGAAGCTTCTGACCTGGTATCTTCGATGGGATTGTTTGAAGCCAATTGATTGGAGTCATACGATTTAACAGATTTGTGTTCAGGAAATTCGTAACTGAATTCATTTGCATGCAGGACTGAATCAACCTGCAACAATTATTACTTTGAAGATTTGATTCAAGGAAAACTATAGTGAAACTACCGCTGCACAATTATGGTTTGCATGATGCCCAATGAAATTACTAGAATTGATCAACTTTGAGACATACATTTTCATTTTCTTTTTCCTTAGATTTACTTGCATCAATTTATCAATTTGTCTGCTATCTTGTTTTTGTTTAATACATATTAAAGAGTTCATAGAATATGAAAACTAGGCTATCATGCTTTACAGAGTCTCTTTTTTTCAGGCTGTGGCGCTACGATGTGTCATCTTGAATCAAAAAGAACTATTTGGCGAACATGGTAAGTCACCACGTACAATTAGAATAAGTTTGAATTAGTAATTACTACAATATACCGCGAGACATTACAAAACTAAAAACGAAACCCTTACAATTTCAAAATAACATATTAATTATTATTTCAATAGCACTGGTTACCTATATTTCTTAGTGAAAATACATTTTCATGAAAATATTTATTCTAATTTATTACACGTACAATTCTCAATAAGTACATTTAAATGTGCTTATTAACAACAAAAGTGACTAATTATAAGAATTTTTATTATTGTGACTCTTTTAAAACGGCTGATAGCAACAAAATCTGTATTGTTTCGTAAGGGAGCGAAAATCATCGTTGTAATTTTCTTCTAGGTACTCATTATTTACATTAGTTTAAGACATTATTATATTTAGCGTTTTGGGCAGAACATTGTAAATAAGAGATAAGGTATGATATGATACGTATGTTGTTTTGGTATGCTTGCACAATCACTTGACATCAAAAATATGCATAACAGTTAAATTGTAAGGCTTAATTAAAACGCTAAAACCAAGAGCATTCAATTTTACAGAAAAATTAATAGCATAGTGATGATTAACTGGAGTTCTAATTAAATAATACACATTTACAAAAAGGTACATTTATTGTCTTCATAAATATACAACTTCAGTAATAAAGGGCCACTAAAGGGACTACATAGTTGTGTATAGGTGATGTCATAATGTCTTACGTGTTTGTTCTATGGACTACGAAATAATACAGGAAAAAAGTATAAACTAGCGAGGAGGAGACTGTCGAGGATATAGAGGTATCATGTGCCTAGATTGTATTGGCTGCTCGCATTGAGCACGCGCAATAGTAACGCTGACGCTGTGCGCAGTTCCGCTTTGCAATAACAGGAGTCATTCCCGAAATTTGCAAACAAATATCTTCTGAAGCGAAAAATGTGGGAGCTGTCAAAAATATATATTTTTTAAGTAAAACAATATAAATTTATAGGGGTTAATATAAGTAAAGAAACTCAAACTCCATTTTAATTCATAATAACTGGGCTAGTTGGAAATATATTAAATGCAGAAACAAGAATTAAGAGAAGTAGCTGTTCACAAATAATTAAGGATGTAGGATATTGTAGTTTTAGGGAAATGCGAACATTAGTTCAGGATAGCAAACAGTTAAGGTAGGTCTCCAACCGGTTTTAGAACTGACTGCCTTGTGATGATCATGATGATGAAGAACTAAGGCCAAGGGAGAGGGAAGATACGCAGCCAATGAAATGTAGGCACAAGTGTATGAGCATTATCAACTTCTCTCTCCTGAGAGGCTTCACTCTCCTCGTCTAACTGTACTGACACTTTATACTTTATAATTCCGTAGTCCAAGGTTTATACAAAATGAAGACGGGATCTCTACCTTTCGCCACTATATCCGGGACGTCACCGTCGTTATACACGATGTCGTTATAAACATGATAAATGTAATATATATTTTAATTTAGGAATTAGCCTGCCTAAATTGACTTGAACATGTATAAATAATGATATGCGACTAAAAATAATTAGACACTTTCTCGAATAATATAAAACAAGAACTTTTACATTAATTATCAACGCCATTGTTGATTTATAAGGTAATTTATGAAAGTTATTACACGAGTTTTAAAGAGAAAGTTAATTTTGATCCAAATATCCTTCAAAATGTTCTTGATGGTATCGGATACGGCTTCTAAAGAAGGCAAACCTTCTGCAGCAAAAATAGAATCAATTCCCTGCTTAAATTCGGATACTGCTTTTAGAATAATATCCAAAACTTCGTACAAAGCGTTTCTTAAAACATTTAGTAGATCTTGAATAAATTCGGAATAACCCCAAGCTCGCAACGAACTACTCACACTATCAATCAAATAGGTAATCTGCATTTGAGTAAAGGAAACCGTAGCAGTTATTGCATATTTTAACAATTGTTTGATATTGTTAAGTACTTCGTCTATTGTCCCATTACTCTCTAAGGAAGACGTTTCTAAAGACCTTTTACTCCTCTGGAGGGTTGAATTTGAAAATAAACTAAGTCCGTTCCTGATCCCAGCACTGGCTTTATCAATAAGACAATTAATGTTTCTAATGTCGTACTCTTCCAGTAATTGCGATACTGTAAGTAGTGGTTTTCTCAAAACATCGTTTATCTGTTCATATACTTTTGGAACAATGTATTTTGAATAATACACTGCGCGTAAAATCTGACCGATTAATAAACGGTAATCGTCAAGCTTGACTTCAGCAGATGTTAGATTCAACTGTGGTAAACCGAAATACTGAAGTTTGCTATCCAAATTTTTCAAATCCAAACCATCCAATAGTATTAGTCCTTGGATATTTCCTGTAGAATCCAATACATCCAATCTGTCGACGTCACTATTTTCGTTCCATAGTAACGTATGAGATGAGTTTATTTTAAATAACTGAAATCACATGGAAAAGCTATTCAAACAGAATTACTTCTTAAGATCAGTGTCAGCATAACAAATTTTCTTTTGAAATTGTACGTAAATATAACTTTTACATACATACGAGGGTGCGTTTTTCGCGGAATGGGTAGGTAGATCATTAGTAAGGGTACTTACTTGAATCATTACGAATTAAGCAACTCATTATTAGTATAAATACCAAGTATTATCGTAATTAGGTCAGTGGTCTTTGAATTATCGTCAATCGGGAACAAATTGTGAAATATAGAGAAAATTGAGTACCGCGCTGTTATAAAGTTCCTTAACAAGCAAGGAAAATCAATTGAAACCATACTGAAAGAGATGTCATTGGTTTACAGGGGCTCTTGTCCAGGTGAAACTATAGTTTGCAAGTGATATGCACTCTTTAAGCAAGGCATGGATTCACTTGAAGACGACCAACGGCCAGGCCGGCCGATCGAAGTGATCACACCGGAAATAATTCAAAAAGTCGAAAAATTTATACTGGAAGATGCCTGACTTAAGAAGAAACAACTCGCAGAAATGATAAGAGTATCAGATACAACCATTTTTAAAATTCTTCACGATCATCTTGACATTACTAAAGTCGGCACAAGATGGTTGCCGAGACGCGTGTGACGTCTTCTCGCACGTTTTTGGACCTCTGTAGTATAGATAAAGATGGAGTATTAACTTGAATTGTTACTGGGGACGAAATTTGGGTTCATCAATATGAACCTGAGTCCAACCAGGATTCTATGCAGTGGCATAAAAACGGCACATCACCACCCAAGAAGTTTAAGGTGTCACAGTCGGCTAGTAAAATCATGGCAATAGCCTTTTGGGACTCAGAAGGGATCCTGTTGATCGATTATAAAGATAAAGGTGTCTCTATAACCGGAGAATACTATGTTTCAATCCTAGAGCGGTTAAAGGAAGCAGTCAAAGAAGAAGGAAGAGGAAAATTGACCAAAAGTGTCCTCCTTCTGTACGACAAGGCACCTGTTGACAAGACCCGTGTTGCGATGGCTGCTCTACAGAAGGTGAGCTTCGAAATTTTGGCTCACCTACCCTATAGTCCTGACTTAGCTCCCAGCGATTATTACCTATTCCCAAACTTGAAAAAAAGTTGATTGAAAGATCGAAAAAATGTATAAAGGTAGCAGGTGAATATATTGAAAAGGAAAAATAAATTTCTCTTTTACTTCCACATTTTACCCCCTATTCCGCGAACATAAAAACGCCCCTTCGTATATTATATAGTTATATATATATTTATATACGTTGTATAGGTAATTTAGAATAACATGAACCTTCAGATGTCCGAAAGGCGGGCTTTATCACATTTGATATTAAGAAAAGAGTGACTCCATTGCTATTGTATTGCTTCTAACCATGGGCCTCGACGGAATCAACTGGGAATGTAGTTCCCACTTAAACTGTACAAAATACGCAACCCAAGACTAAGGTTTATATCATTCTAAATTACCTTTAATAGTTAATATATTGTGTTTAGTAGTAATATAAAACTGCTGTGATGAATTTTGTAAATATTGTAGGTTGTAACCCTGCAACATCGTAATATCTTAAATAGCGCAGCCAGGTTTTATACGTAGCCATAAAATAAAAATTACTTACCATTAAAAATGAAGATATTATTATGGAATAAAGTAGATACATTTTTACTATAAAACTTTCAGTAAGTAGGTATCTATTGTTTTACCCAGGAACGGTTGTTACAATAAATACTGAGTTATCTTTTTGCAGGTCAGGTTTATAAACGCGTTTTATACATCGACTTATGTAATCTTCCCGCAATTATTATACTCTTGAGAAAACAAAATTAATACAATTTATACTTTATAATAATACATATGCATACAAACAAGTGCAACGTAATTAAAGATAAAACATCAAATAAACAAAAGAATGTAAAAACATAATAATTTTATTCTGATGATCTCAATAGTGTGTTATAGTTTCCCAGAAACAAAAAATACAGTTTATCTAAGTAGAATGTAGGAAATTGGCACAAAAAAAGGAAAATATTTACATTTACCGACAAATTAGTGCTTGTAACGAATAAGAAAATTATTTTCTGCAATTTGGTACGTTTAATTACCTATCTAAAATTAGCTACCAATGTTGCAATAAAACATTAGTGTCTGAAATGAAGTTACTAGACTATTCACATATCAAAGACAGACAAGTATGAGAACTGTATATTTCCCATGCATTACTGTGCAAATATCACTCCATAATTTCATTTAAATACAAGGAATATCGATAGGGTTGATGGCAGTTATGAAGAAGAAATATCTAAAAATATCACTTATTTCTCTGAAAACTACTTCGAAATCTTGATTACTTTTTAGATTGATTCGTTTAAACTATTTCGATGACGTAAACCCAATCTTTCAATAATTTGACTGTATATACAATCATAACTGCTGAATATAGAATCTATCGTATTACCTCATGACAGAGTGACATGCAAGGTTAGTTATGACATACGTTCATTTTACTTGAATAAATTTAAAACGTTGCAATATATATTTCATTTTCTATATTAGAAGCTTTGCCATTACGTTTTCAATTGAATCGTTTAGACTATTTCCATGACGTAAACCCAATCATTCAATAATTTGACTGTATGTACAACATTACTGTTTTTGGTAGATACATATTCCATCTTTCGTATTACCTCATATGACAAGCGGCATGCAAAGTTGGTTACGACATACGTTCATCCCTCTTGAATAGACGATGTAACCTATACTGTATTATCTATATTACAAGAAAGTGTTACTATCACTTTTTGGATTGATTCGTTTAGACTATTTTGATGACGTAAAGCCAATAGTTCAACAATTTAACTGTATTTATAATCATCTTCTTTTGGTTAGAAAAACTGTTAGTTTAGTTATGATTTTTAATAAAACTGATAATAGAAATTTTTATTAAGACTCAGCCTATAATCTACCTCAGTACTGATGGTAGTATACCGACGAAATCTGTCCAAATAATGTTTGTCGTAAGATACAAAATGACTTTATGAAAAGAGTAACTCTAAAGTTCGAATATTCAAAATTTAATACTATTTAATTATGGATTTATATGAAAACGATGAACACCAAAATGTCAAATCATATCATCAACCCACTTACAAATAATTGTTATAATTTATCAAAAAGACAAAAGAATTGTTATACTTTATTTACAGATGCAAAAATATACACGTATGCATATTTAAGCGAAATTATATAAAAAGAAAATGGTATAATTCATTACAGCACAAAAAAGAAATATTTTATCAAAGTAATTGATTTTTACACCAAAATATTTCTACTATCTGCTCATTTTTCATTACCATTTAATCTATCTTTAGTGTGTTGTTTGTTGTTTTAATTGAGAGACGGAATGGAAATTAACTGATTAGCAACATACGACTGGAAACCATGCAACTGCTCTATAATTATGCTCGAAATAAGTTGAAGAACTCCAATTACACTTTCCGAAATATCAAGTGCAAAACCTTTCAAATTCCACGCACGGATTTCGGCAATAACTCCTTCTATCCTTGTATTGATTTGAGAAATAAGTAGAGATGTTAATGATTCCACTTGGTTGTTGATAATATCCTTAAAACTTCCCAAAACAAAATTCCACAGGGCATCAATGTCCGCGTCTTTACCTTGCAAAGACAAGGCCTTTTCGGCATCTCTCTTTTTCCTTTCTAAAGCATTCTTTGGTTTAAACGGTAGAAAAATTCTGCGGATTGACAAATCCAATTCGTTAATAAGTCCGTTAATGTCTTCAATGTTGTTTTGTTGAAAAACGTCTGCAATAGCACTAACAGGGGGACCGGCAAGTAAGACAATTTCGTTGTAGATGTTTGGTGCAAGAAATCTTGAAAGTTGAACAAATTGTAAGGTCTGTGATAGTGAAAATCGGTATTCGTTTAGAGCTACTTCGGTAGGTATGATATCTAAGCCTGGAAGTCCGTAATAATCCAGTTTTTGATTCAAATTCTTCAAGTTCAAATCTTGTAAGAGGACTATTCTTTGAAGTGCACCGACGGCATTAGCATCTTTTGGAAGTAACTTGAGTTCCGCATCAATAGCGAAACAATTACTCAAAATTGGAGCCTATACAAAAAAATTGGAACCTTCAACTTCTTGTAAAATTCAATTCTCACATTTTTGTCCGGCCACATGTATATCACAATAAATAAATAAATATTTCATGTACAAAACGAATTATATTCAGTTTTGATATCTCCCAAATTTGCATTGAAAACGACAGCAAATAGCAATAATTGAGATTAATGTTTAATCACGTTTGATGTCGAATGAAGGGTTTTAAGATTAGTATTTATTTCGTTTGTTATTGTACCTACGTTATAAAGAGAGTTCCCCTTTTGATCATTACAAATGGCAAAACAATATTTTAATTAAATAATAAGCATACATGCCCGTATTACAAACAAACACAAACGAGAAAGAAATCAAAATGTACTTACACTTAAAAGAGCAAATGTTACTAAAAAGCAACGAAAAATCATGGTGACCTATCGTTGCCAAATAACAAATGGAAACAGACTAATCGAGTAACACCTAAGAATATTCGTATTTCGTTAAACATTGTTATCATCATCAACAAAAGGTATAAATTATTATGTTTGTTGAATAACAAACGTAATTCAAAAGAAATACATAGACAGATAAGGAACCCGAATCAAATATTAATCTTTTCAAGACCAAAAAGTTTTTCCATTGTCATTATGACGGAATTCAGCAAAAAAAATATTTATGTCTTTCCAGAATTATTTATTATTATGATGATACTACTCTAGTACTCTTTGAACCAAATAGTTATTTTTTCATTGCATAAAAATAAACAAAATGATGAAGTACAGTATAAAACAAAAGTAGTACCTATATTACTCACCAGTATCATCATCATAGTAAGGTCATCAGTCCTAAGACGGGTTGGACAAACACCTCCACTTTATCCTATCCTGAGCTAATCTTCGCGTTTCCCTAAAGCTAGAACAACCCACATCCTTAACTATTTGCGAACAGTAATCTAATCTAGGTCTACCTCTACCCCTCCTAACTCCTGTTTCTGCCTCTAATATGTCTCTGACTAGACCTTCATGCCTAAGAAGGTGTCCTTCCTTACTCTGTTTCTGCTTTTCTATGTCTTTAACTAGTCCTTCACGTCTCAGAAAGTGCTTCACCATCGTATCTTTCATTTTCCTTATTAGCTTCCACAGTTTCCTCTTTTTCGATACTTCCGTATTTCTAATTCTTAAATACCCACAATCTTTTGCAAAAATATGCAAGTAAAATACTAACAATAAGTCCCACTTTATTTCCATAATTTATAATCCGAAAAATGTACCCAGGAAGAAAGTTTTGAAAATATCCTAGCAAAAACGTTGAACGAATTAAAACTAAATTAATGGTTTTGAAGCGATTATAGTTTTATTGACTTCCATAGAGTCCTCTGTTCTATTGTTTCCAATACCTCTTCATTTCTAACCTTTTCTACCCACGATATCCTCATCATCATCCTATAACACCACAGTTCGAACGCTTGTAACCTTTTCTTTTCCGCCGCGCCCACTGTCCATGTTGCGCATCATAGCCTAACATAAACTTGTGATGCATAGCACGAATTTTCATAAATTGGAATTCAGAAGTAACAATACTAGTTATTGTAAATACCAAAGTTGATTAAGGGGTGAAAGGTTTTTACTATTAATTAAAACAAATTAAGTGTTGATATCAAAAATTGGAATTTTCGTTATTATCACTTTTAGTAAACGAGAATTAATTAAGCAAAGGAGTAATTAATTTTCAGACAGCTTAATTGCTCTAATCTTNATTGAAGTCGCCTCTTTTTGTTTACACCATATAAACGCTGAGGAGGTTACTGGGCGTCACATTCGTTAAAAACAATGACAAAAAACGGCCAGTCACAAAAGTCTTTTCGAAAATTAATTATCTGTATAGGTGTAACGAATACGTAACCACGTCCGCATCCGCAACTGCGGATGACCCGCAGGAAATTTAATATCTACATCTTCACCTGCACTTTAAATTTAAAATCCACACATTCTGATGATGATATTTGAAAATTGATTGAGTTCTCAAAATTTGCTAAGTATTTTCAGAAAGAAAAAAAAAACAATACATTCGTATTTGCATCCATATTCTCATACTCATCCGCGTCCGCAACTCTAGACTTTCAATAATCCGCACCCTCATCCGCAAGCAAGTTTAACCTCCTTACAGTTTGCACCCTCATGCGCATCCGTTACAACCCTAATCAAAAGAGTAATTGATTGCCCCAATTTATAGCAAATCACTCCTGTCTATTTCTAATCAGCATTTACCCTGCAACTAGACAACAATGAAAAGAAAACCATTCCCAAACCATTATGTAATTTAGCCCTTACCAAATACATACATAGCTAAGTAAGCAAGCATGCTTCTTATGATATAACTGATTATGCAGATTGATTAACTAAATAATTATAATCCAGACTTATCCAAATTCTTAACCACCCAAAGTAAAATCAATTCAGAGGACTGTTACTATTATAAACTTAATGAAAACCACTTACCTTCTTGTAGGGCTTAAATAAATTAATAAAATTAACATTTCGATTAGTGTTTATTATCAAAAAGCTAAATTGTACATTTTACAATTATTATAAGTATATACATTTGATTTTTAATACTCGTTACATTTTTTTATCAACCCAATGTTTATAAGTAGAAATCCGATATTCAATAGTCAACTTTCTTCTTCACTAACCCACAAAACACGAAAAATATGATCATAATAATTGACACACTCTCATTTTAGCAGAAAAGAATAATAATTACCTAACAGGATTTGTAGAAATTTCACCTTTGAGTTTCATGTTTCTTCAGAAAAGTATTAGTCCAAAACGAAAATAATAATTTAGTAGCATATTAGTGTTACAATTAATAAGGAGAACAAATTTAAGTAATCGCAAGCTAGATGTTTATGTTTTAAAAAAGGGGGTTGTATATTTTCCTGCATATATTTTAAATTTCATCCCATCCACTTTTATTGGGGGAATACCCTAGTAAAAGTTTCGGGAATTTTTACAACAATAAATTGCAGGAATGATGTGTGTGTTGCATATGCAAAAGTCAGATAGATCTAGATATTCATTAGAACTAATTTACTGTAAATTAACTATCATACAACCACTACAAAAATTACTTCATAGGCGCTTACAGTAAAAACCAATTTTTTTGCAATTAACACATACAAGCAAATCAAAATTTTATAACGTTTAAATATGTACTTAATTTTATGACACTTTAAGCAGCAACATTTCACACTACCACTTAACTATAAGCAAAAGGCACATGATATTTATTATATTTATAATAAATGAAATTGTTAGAAGATATTAGAAAAATGCGCAATGATTTTATTGTTTTTACCTCTTGTGGTGACAATCTTGCAAATGCCGACTTCGGTTCACCAGTCGACCGAATAAAACGCGAAGCGTAACAACAACCAGTAATAAAACCATGTCTTTCACAGGAAGATATTACACACTTTGGAACAAATTTACCAAAGGAAACAATACTTTTTTTGTGAAGAAACCGCTGTGGTCCTAAAGCCATAACCTCTTCCTGTAGTACAAACTAGTATCTTAAATTTTGCAAACAACTCCACATTTCCGAGCAAATCACACTCTATTAGAATAAAAAACAAATTTACAAAAACGACGCCACAAGGTTACTATTTTCTATTTTTAAAAGCCAAAATCTTAACTAACAAATTTACAGGTTATGTACATACATTATAACAGCTGTGCACTTGGCCTACTGTAGCGATGTGTTTAATCTACGAAAGATAGTGTCTATCATTCGGGAGAAGTAAGGTATTCACTAAACTAAGAGAAGTCATAATTATGAAAAAATAGAATACAGAATCTCATGAAGCCACCAGTTNTGATTGTTATGTAAAAAAGTACGCAGAATCTCGTAGTGTCAACGGTTTTCGAGTGCGATGTCAAATTAGTAGTTTCCGCCATCATTTTTCATGAAATACGAATTAACTTAGACATATAAAAGCGCTCGTTAAAACATTGTGAGATGGAAGGTGTTTACTGAGCTTTTAGAAATGATTATTATGTAAAACCGTACGCAGAATCTCGTGGTGCCAATGGTTTTCGAGTGGGACATCAACTTGGTACTTTCCGGTATCATTTTTCATGAAATACAAATTAATTTAGACATAGAAAAGCGCTCGTGAAACCAATGCGAGATGGAACTAATTTACTGAGCTTTTAGAAATGATTGTTATGTAAAAAAGTACGCAGAATCTCGTAGTGTCAACGGTTTTCGAGTGCGATGTCAAATTAGTAGTTTCCGGCATTACTCTTCATGAAATACGAATTAATTTAACCACAGAAAAGCGCTCGTTAGACCATTGCGAGATGGAAGGTGTTTAGTGAGCTTTTAGAAATGACTATTATGTAAAAAAGTACGCAGAATCTCGTGGTGCCAATGGTTTTCCAGTGCTACATCAACTTGGTACTTTCCGGCATCATTTTTCATAAAATACGAATTAATTTAAACACAGAAAAGCGCTCGTTAGACCATTGCGAGATGGGTGGTATTTACTGAGCTTTTAGAAATGATTATTATGTAAAAAAGTACGCAGAATCCCGTAGTGCCAATGGTTTTCGAGTGTGACATAAACTTGGTACTTTCCGGCATCATTTTTCATGAAATACGGATTAATTTAGACATAGAAAAGCGCTCGTGAAACCAATGCGAGATGGAACTAATTTACTGAGCTTTTATAAATGATTGTTATGTAAAAATGTACGCACAATCTCGTGGTTCCAACGGTTTTCGTGTGCGATGTCAAATTAGTAGTTTCCGGCATCATTTTTCATGAAATACGAATTAATTTAAACACAGAAAAGCGCTCGTTAGACCATTGCGAGATGGGAGGTATTTACTGAGCTTTTAGAAATGGTTATTATGTAAAAAAGTACGCAGAATCTCGTAGTGCCAATGGTTTTCGAGTGTGACATAAACTTGGTACTTTCCGGCATCATTTTTCATGAAATACGAATTAATTTAGACATAGAAAAGCGCTCGTGAAACCAATGCGAGATGGAACTAATTTACTGAGCTATTAGAAATGATTGTTATGTAAAAGAGTACGCAGAATCTTGTGGTGCCAATGGTTTTCGAGTGTGACATCAACTTGGTATTTTTCGGCATCATTTTTCATGAAATACAAATTAATTTAAACACACAAAAGCGCTCGTTAGAGCATTGCGAGATGGAAGGTGTTTACTGAGCTTTTAGAAATGATTATTAAGTAAAAAAGTACCCAGAATCTCGTGGTGCCAATGGTTTTCCAGTGTGACATCAACTTGGTACTTTCCGGCATCATTTTTCATGAAATACAAATTAATTTAAACACAGAAAAGCGCTCGTTAGACCATTGCGAGATGAAAGGTGTTTACTGAGCTTTTGGAAATGATTATTATATAAAAAAGTACGCAGAATCTCGTGGTGTAAATGGTTTTCGAGTGTGACATCAACTTGGTACTTTCCGGCATCATTTTTCATGAAATATAAATTAATTCAAACACAGAAAAGCGCTCGTTAGACTATTGCGAAATGGAAGGTGTTTACTGAGCTTTTAGAAATGATTGTTGTGTAAAAAGGTACGCAGAATCTCGTGGTGCCAATGGTTTTCTAGTGCGACATCAACTTGGTACTTTCCGGCATCATTTTTCATGAAATACGGATTAATTTAGACATAGAAAAGCGCTCGTGAAACCAATGCGAGATGGAACTAATTTACTGAGCTTTTAGAAATGATTGTTATGTAAAAATGTACGCACAATCTCTTGGTTGCAACGGTTTTCGTGTGCGATGTCAAATTAGTAGTTTCCGGCATCATTTTTGATGAAATACGAATTAATTTAAACACAGAAAAGCGCTCGTTAGACCATTGCGAAATGGGAGGTATTTACTGAGCTTTTAGAAATGATTATTATGTAAAAAAGTACGCAGAATCTCGTGATTTCAATGGTTTTCCAGTGCGACATCAACTTGGTACTTTCCGGCATTATTTTTCATGATATACGAGTTAATTTAAACACAGAAAAGCGCTCGTTAGACCATCGCGAGATGGAAGGTGTCTACTGAGCTTTTATAAATGATTATTATGTAAAAAAGTACGCAGAATCTCGTAGTGCCAATGGTTTTCGAGTGTGACATAAACTTGGTACTTTCCGGCATCATTTTTCATGAAATACGAATTAATTTAGACATAGAAAAGCGCTCGTGAAACCAATGCGAGATGGAACTAATTTACTGAGCTATTAGAAATGATTGTTATGTAAAAGAGTACGCAGAATCTTGTGGTGCCAATGGTTTTCGAGTGTGACATCAACTTGGTATTTTTCGGCATCATTTTTCATGAAATACAAATTAATTTAAACACACAAAAGCGCTCGTTAGAGCATTGCGAGATGGGAGGTGTTTACTGAGCTTTTAGAAATGATTATTATGTAAAAAGGTACGCAAAATCTCGTGGTGCCAATGGTTTTCTAGTGCGACATCAACATGGTACTTTCCGGCATCATTTTTCATGAAATACGGATTAATTTAGACATAGAAAAGCGCTCGTGAAACCAATGCGAGATGGAACTAATTTACTGAGCTATTAGAAATGATTGTTATGTAAAAGAGTACGCAGAATCTTGTGGTGCCAATGGTTTTCGAGTGTGACATCAACTTGGTATTTTTCGGCATCATTTTTCATGAAATACAAATTAATTTAAACACACAAAAGCGCTCGTTAGAGCATTGCGAGATGGGAGGTGTTTACTGAGCTTTTAGAAATGATTTTTATGTAAAAATGTACGCACAATCTCGTGGTTCCAACGGTTTTCGTGTGCGATGTCAAATTAGTAGTTTCCGGCATCATTTTTCATGAAATACGAATTAATTTAAACACAGAAAAGCGCTCGTTAGACCATTGCGAGATGGGAGGTATTTACTGAGCTTTTAGAAATGGTTATTATGTAAAAAAGTACGCAGAATCTCGTAGTGCCAATGGTTTTCGAGTGTGACATAAACTTGGTACTTTCCGGCATCATTTTTCATGAAATACGAATTAATTTAGACNTGTTCAGCGTGCTGTCAAACCTACACTAGCAAGGAGATCGGGCTGAAACTATAGCTACAAGCTATCCAAGGATGGTACTATAGAATGTCACCTCAAGGTAGGCCTAGTGGCGTCATCTCTTGGTTAGGCCGGAAACTTATCAATCCACCCTCGTATACCTACATGCGCATTCTTAGAAGGACCGAATCATTTATAAAGTTGGACAGGTTTGAATTTATTCCCTCTCTGTACCTATATTCTTCGGCTTCAAAAAGAAAATAGGTCTTTTGATTATAATAGCGACCAAGGGTATTTGTTACATTACAAAAGACCCATTCATATACCTTTGTAACAGGTTGTAAAACCATTCCATGCGGGAGAATGTTATTATTACCTTTGTGTCTGTCTTATTGTCCTTCAAGAGGTCTTTTAAAACGTCTCTAATCGCAAGTGTTTGCAGCAGCACCATCATATACACCACCCATGTGTTAACTAGTCGCTAGTTTTATCTTCGAAAATTTCCTGGGATAGGTTACGTTGGCGTCTCATTGGGTTACAGGAAATTCTATGTAATCCGTTGGAGGAGATAAAGCTGGTAACTGTTACTTTTAACATAAGTACAGATTTATGTTTGTATCTTTAAATGCCGATTTTTGACAGAAAAAGTTACGTAGTTCAAGTTATTATTTGAGCTTAATGTTATCTCAAGTACCTAGTAATGAGCAAAGTTTGTCTTGCTCTTGCAGTCTTGCGAAAATGCAAAGTTGTCTTTATACTGGCAAGACCAAGATCAAGACTGAACGAGCAAGACCAAGGTTGGAACCAATAACGAATGAACTTCGAGTGGATTAATGAGTTAAACTATTTGAAGCAGCTTTAAAAAAATTAAAAAAAGTACAATGCAAACTCTATATAACGACACTTAAGGGACTGAACATTTTTCAGCGTTATAAAAACTGGTCGTTAAATGGAGAGAAATAAAAGATATTATTTTACTATTCTATAATAATATGCATTTACCAATATAGTACACATTTTGCACACGAACATTATTATTCATACATTGCGTATAGCCTGTTATCTTCGTCTGATGTTTTTTGCTGCTCCAATATTTTAATTGTATTTTGTTACGTATCTTACTCATATCTT